AAAAAAAAAAAAAAGAAAAAGAAAAGAAAAAAAGAAAACAGGGAATGCACTGTGGATGTAAACTTTCACCTTTGTCTTTTCTAACAAGGGTTTAGTATCAATTTTGAAAACAAGAGGATTAGCACCTGGAGTCACAAATTCCTTGCGTAATTCACAAATAAATTTAATAGAAATGACACTCAGCAGCAAGCTTTCCTGAACAGCTGTGCCAAGAAATCTTGGCTCAAAGAGAGCTGAAGAAAGAGAAAAGGAGGAGAGGGAGGATGAAGCTGACTCTAGAAAACACTTATTTTCTGCATTGATTCCCAAGTCTCTACCAAGTTGGACAACAGGCTGACAGCAATGCTTGGGAAAGGGGCAGGCATCACTGCCCCACTCCCTGCCTCACTCATGCTAGGGGCAGTCTTTCTGCAGGCTTGAGAAAGCTTGGAATCAGGTCCCTGGTCAACAGATGTCATAATGTCCAGCCAGAACATGGTTCAATTCAGCCACATGAACCAAAACCTCCCCTCTATCTCCAGCTTTCACTGCACAGGATGTTAGCTGGAAAACTCCTCTATAGCTGGTCCAATGTTATTGCTGCAGAACAGGATGTTGGCTAACTCAACCAGTGCAACAGCCTGAGAAGGCTGATCTGCCAAGCAAGAGCATTTTATGCAGACTTCTTCTGCAAAACCCACAGGATCAGTCCTGATCCCCTTATCTCCTCTCAAGGTATCTGCAACTATGCAACTGTAAATGATGCAAAATTTACTTTCATTACCAAAAATCCCCCAAAGCATAGCACAAATTTAAATGTAGGCAAGTCTTCTGAATATTTGTGCTTTGTCTGCTGTGGGTCTCTCCAGGGTGATGTCTGCCCTCAGAAATCACTGGGGTAGACCTGCCACAGTGCATTTGCTGTCACACAGCACACTTAATATTTTGCAACCCCAGCAAGGCTGCGTTTACAATCTTCATGGCCAAAAGTATTTGCAAAGTCTGAATTCCTGATGGATGCCAGCTAAGCAATCAGAGTGATGGAAAATGCACAATAAAGACCATAAACATACGGAGTCTTCAACTCAGCATAAATACTGAAGATCAGCCTGGGTGTGTTGTCAAGGTAGATTTGAGAGCCAGCAGTAGAGAACTTTTTCCTTGCATACATCGTAAATTTTGATAGATGTTTTCTTGCCTGGGACCTAGTACACTCTGAATGCATTACTTCTTTCTGCTTATTAGTTTTCTCATCTGTAAAATGAGGTTTTGAGGGGTGGTATATTCCTAAAACATTTTGAAATCCAGTATTACTGGAAAGTGCTGTATATTCAATTGATAAAGTCAATGGAAAAACATCTGATCTTCAGTATAATCTATACTAAGGAGAGATGTTTAAGTGCTGAATAAACTAAGAGTTACCGACAGAGGTTTGCAAAATTTTCAGTTAGATGAAGAATGCTTCTTTGACCCAAAAAAAAGTCAATTTTTTTTTCTGGCAGTGCCTGCAAGATGTAGGGCCACATTCCCAGAGCTCTACGTCTGTCAATACTGGCAGGAAGGTGAGGAAGAGGGCAAGAGGGCATAGTAAGGGTCAGCTGCCAGAGCAAAATTTAACTACAGGTCTCTGTGAATCAGAAATTTGTCAGCAAACCAATACAAATGGATGTTTTCAAATTAAACTAGAAGAGTTTACAGAGGTTTTACAATGCTTGCTAAGGGCATCTGCCAGCTCCCCAGGCTCAGTTGAGGTGGGAGAGATGTTTTCTCTGGAAAAAACATCTTAGTGCTTTTTGTTTTTCACATAAATTGGGAATATCCTCCGTCCGTAGTTCCTCTGATCCTATGAAACAATCTATGTATGTGAGCAGAAGAATATATTCATTATTATTAATTCCTCGGTGTGCAATAATTGAATCTAATACAGTACCATCCTCCAAATCATCCTTAGGCTAAAATACTTGTTTCTTGCTTACATGGTCTGGATGGGGTAACTGATTTCACATACCCTTTCTGGGGTTTCTCAAAGTCAAACCACAAAGCAGCTGCCAAAAATGTCTCTTCATGTAAAATTTACAACATGCATTTCTGAAGTGGTAGCTGATGTGCCTAGCCAATCTGCTGAAAATGTTTGTGTAGCTAAAATTTTTGAGAAGAGAAAATCACAGGATCTGCAAATACATCTGCAGAACATTCTTTAGCAACTACTGCTCATTCTGAGTGCAAACCTTGAGAATAAATCCTAACTTCTGTAAAAGGACAAACCTAAGTCATACCTTTAGACTACTGCTTATGACAAAGAACTTGATCTACACCTAAAAAAATTCCATTAGAGACACTGCTCAATTTTAAACAATTAGCATATCTTTTTCACATTAAAAATGGAGGAACTGCAATCTTCACATTTTAGCAAATATATCTGCTGCAAATAAATAATTTTCTAATTATAAAACTGACTACTTTATAGACTTTGTTCTCATATTCTGGAATGAGCTATTGCATCAATTAAAAAAAAAAAACCCACACTTTTTTTTCCCCATCACAGGAGAAGCCACGGCAAATTGGTTCATAAATATTCACTGGTATTTTAGTCATGGCTGTAAAAAAGGAGATATTTTACTGTTCTGGAAACAGTGCATTTAATGTCAGAGCATCCCTGAGAAAGAAGAGCTGAGGGGAGTCTCTTATTGCAGTGAAGTCCTAAACCAGTCACAGGTCACACTCACAAACAGATCTACAGCTATGGCAAAAGAAGAGAAAGATGATGGATGAGCAGAGCTTCCAGAGATGTTAGCAGGACCCTGAGCTGGCAGATGGGACAGGGACAGGGGCGGGCAGGCAGTGTGGGCACAGCTGGTCCTTGCCCAGCTGAGTGGCTCTGCCTGCTGAGCCACAACTCTCCCACTGCCCAGCCCGTGCCCGAGCCAGGGCACCGCAGCACAGCTCTGAGCACTCATACTGCTCGTGCTCCTCTATGATTCAGGGGAAGCACTCCCAGATGAAGGCAATAATTATGCCTTAGGCATAAATAACTGCTCATGACCTCCCTGCTACGCTATCCTTGAGTTCTCAGGTAGGATGGCTTCACCTGCCTTCTGGATTTCACAAGGCTTCTTATTTTAAATCCACACAATTGATTAATCTGGTGGATATTCTGCACAAATAACAAATAAAATCTATGAGGCTCCTCCTCCCCATATCCAACTCCATGGCTCATGACTGCCATGTAGTTGCTCTTCCTGCTACACAGCAGGGTAGGAGAGGAAATGAGCTACAAAAACAAAGCTGCCCCAGCTGCATGAACTTCTTAGAAGAATGAAAATTAACAAATAGAAAGCAAACTGCTAGTGTTCTTAGAGCTAATTACTAATAAAAAGTAATAATTACAACTATAAAGCATGTCACATAAAAATGCTCTTTACAGTGTTTCGATGGAAAAATAGAATAATAATAAAAAAAACTGGGGCTGCTCAAATTTGTTTGATAAAATAAGTTATGATGCATTACAATTTAGACAAATAAAAGTTCAGAATAGTACCAAGGCTATAAAGCATGAGCATAACATATTGTTCTGGCAAGTGATAAAACTGCTCACAGTGACAGCTGTGATTTATGGAAGCAATTCAAATACACTTTGAAAGTATATTAACTTCGCCTCTGCCCACAAAGGGTGGGCCACGCTGGTGATAAATTACATACCAGCAAGAAGTGAAAGCAATTGGCAACATCAGATGCCCAAAGGCCCTGAGTTACTGTGATAATGTGGTTTTCAGGATAATACCTCACATGTAATGGCATCTGAGCACCAAAAGGAACACATCAACACTGTATTTTCGTTGGCTCTTTGGAAGATAATGTTACAATGGTGAGAGTAGTTGGGACTTCCCAGCTAAAGCTGGCATACAAAGCATTTACAATCTGGCTCTGGAACAAAGTCTGGCACAGAAGGTCACAATTTAGATGGTACCTCTTGGGTGGAAGCTGGAAAATAACTGCCTCCTGTTTCCAGGTTGTAGGCACTGAATCAATCTGCAGGCTGTGGACCTACAGCACACCTACTGCATGGCTTTAGCACAGTGTGAAAAGGGACCAAGGAGCTGCTGTGGTTTAGCTCTGCTAACACCCAGAATGGGATGGGGACATTGCAGTCACCACGTGCAGCACCTCTTCTGCGAGGGAATCACGTTACTGGGCACACTTGTTCACTGATCACAGCATTTCAGTCTCACAGAAAAAGCCATGCTCTTCCCATGGCTCACAGCAGCACTGGAAAAGGAGCACAGAAAAAGCATGATGACAAAGTTTTAACCCACAGCAGGGTTTTACTAATGTAAAGCATTGAAAATTATTTTAAGAAACTTTGGGCTAAATTCTGCCCTCTGATGTACTAGCACAGATGAAGACTGACTTCAGAATCAACCTGTACTTCAGGGGGTGTCCTTTGAAGAGCACACATTTCTGGGCAGTGCTATGGAGAGCCATGTGCCAGGCTTTTCTCATATTACTAGGGAAAGTTTAATAAATTCTATCTGCCTCCAATTATTACAGTCCTCCCATTCTGACACACTGGTAGGCACATCTTTGTGTCCTGAATTAATGACTGGGCCAAAGCAGTTACATCTTGCCACAGATCAAAAGAAGTTTATCAGCAGTTATACTGTAATGAGCTCATCTGCAAAAAATAAAATGCACTTAACAAAGACTTTCTGTCTGGTGGGAATTTTTAAGTTACTTAATCCAAAACACTCCCTTGGGAAGTGATAATGAATATCTATCCTATTTTTATGATACCCATTACTGTATAACCTGAGGACCTCAGGCATATGGCATACTCACAAAATAAGTCTGTAAGTAACTTTTTAGTGGAAGTTGGACATTTCTGGAGTTTTTCTGTATTTACAAGCTCTGGATGAAAAGTGGCCCAGTGACGCCATAATTGAAACAATATAATACACCTATGCATGGATTGATACTCTAAAAGTAAGGGAGCTAAATGCTTTCCCTACAGATGGGGGCTTGGAGAAAATGCAAAAGTGATAAAACTAATTTTCCTACGACATATAGGAAAAAAGAGCTCAGTACCTCTTTGAACCTGCCCCCTCTGTAGTTCTAATTGAATAGTAAGAAGAAAAAAACATTTTTCTTGAATTGAAATTTTAGGTAGTACAGATATTACAGCACATTTCAGGCTATCGCTTCCATTTATTTACAGCTCTGCAGCACCATGCTTCTGTAGAAACATTTGCAAGAATTGAACTGATTGTGTGTAAAGTCTTAGTCTTAATAGCTTTTTCATTGCTTGCTAATGGAAATATGGATTCAACATTATTTTAAACTTAATTCAGTGTAGAAGAATTAGTTTCATATAGTGTAATTATAATTTTTTTCTACAACACTTCATAGAAGTACAAGGCATAAATAGATTACTTCAAGCAAGGGAAAGGAATGAGAGCATTTTTATTTCTTCAACAACAACTTGGATATGGAAACTGTAACAAGGAATGCATTCCCCTCTTCTCTTTTTCTTGTCTATACATTTCAGATTTGTGTTTTTCACTTTAAATAAAGGAATGTTCGCAGCATTCCTCAAATTCTACTTTTCCAAACAACCAGAAATATTCTGCTAAACTTTACCTCTGAGCAGGGGAGGGATTCTCCCCCTCTACTGCAAATTGGGCAGGAGGCAGCAGTCATTGCTATAGCCTGTTGTCTTTATTTAGAAGAAACAGCAATACCCGTCCCTGTCCCATCACCTGCTTGTGACTTCTTGTCCTGAAGCAATAAAATAACCCTTGCAGCATTCCAGAAGTCACAGTAAAAGTGACCAGAAAATGTTTATTTATACTCCTCCCACATACTGTAACCCAGAAAACATTCACTTTATACCCTGTTCCCTGAAGATTTCACTCTTAAATACTTTCCAAATCTACCTTCTTCCCAAAACCCCATTTCTATGCTGCAGGCTTTGAAATGTCTTTCAGGACACTTCCCTGGAAGGATAACTTCTCTTTATGGGCACAGATGTTATTTTGCATAAAGAGCCAAAATTACTGGAAACGTATTGCTCCATCTCAGACTCCTCTGACAGCTTCCCAGCCTCTCTGGCCACAGCAGCCAGCCAAGCTGCTGCAGCTGCAGTTCATTTTTCTTCCAAAGGGAGAGCAGGAATGGTGTCCTGGGCCTCTGAGATCTCATTACAGAGTAAAACCCAGCATCTTTTAATTGTGTGATGGACTTAAGATTTCATTATTCTCTTTGTAAGGAAAGATTCCACAGAAAGCACCATCAAAAGGAAAGGAGAAAATGTGGTCTCTGAAACTTGCTGAAGTATATTTCCCCCAACATCCCCTTCACTTTTACTAGGTATTCAATAATACCCTAGTCAAGGCTTTACTTGTGGGCTCAGCAACACAAATTAACACAAAAACTGGAAATGCTCCATACATGTCAGGTTCCTTAGGTCTCCAAGGAAAACAGCAGCAGAGTTCCCAGGCCTACAACAGTGGTTTGGAAGGCTGTCACAGAAGGTAAATATAGAATGAAAGCTGAGAGTATTTTGCCACATGCTTTTACAGCCTAGTAACTATAAAGAATTCTTTGCAGTGCTGTCCTTCAAATCCCCCACTATATTATGTTCAATTTTTCAGTTTCTGTTATGTCAATATTACAATCTTTTGTAACAAGAAGACAAAAGCTTCTTCATCTTCTTGAAATCAATATTACTTCTTGGGCAACGGCAACTGATGTCTCTTTGCTAAGGCTCTATTTTAACATACTGCCAAAATACAAATACAATTCTTACTCAATAGATAATAATCTGCTTTTCAAGGCCAAAGGTTGAAGTAGCGAGGATGAAAAGCCTACACATATTTTAATATGCAGCACCATTCTTTCCCAACCCTGCAAGCAAATCAGAATTCTGATGGTGCAGGATGGTCTGTGCAGATGCACTTGTCCAAATGTCAGTTCACTCCAGCAGAAGGTTAAGGTCCAAAGCAAAGAGAAATATTACACTACCCAAGATTCCATTCATGCCAGCCCTGCTCTTCCACAGCATGATCACAGCAGCTTCACTATTGAAGGACACTTCAGCAGAGAACTGCATTATTCCTAAAGTTAGGGATGCATGAACCGTAAGAAAAAGCTTGATAAATAAATCTGCAGCAAACTACACACACTGACAACTATACAGAAACAAACAGATCCCTGCAATGAAAATCAAGCACTGAAAACTGGAAGAAATTTGTCATTTCTTGGCTACAGCTGCTATTTATTTAGTGGTCACATTTCCAGCTTTCAAAAATGGGAATACAGGTCTATCCATTTGTGTCTGAATGGCCTTGGAGAACACTAGGGAGCAAAGCTAAATATTTAGAAATCGGAAAAAAGGCAATGCAAAAGTACTCCCTGTAACCTTAATTCCAGTGACATAGGCACATATGAATGAGATGCAGTATTCAATTACCTAAAAATCATAAAAAACTACAACAGAATTTGCTCTACAAATTGCTGAAGAATTGGAATGAACGTGAAAAATGCCCTAGCAGAATTTCTAATCTTTACGTTTCCTATGCTGCAAACCACCGGAGGACTTCAAAATAGTTTTCAGCATGACAGCTTATAAAGACTTTACTTCAGCCCTTACACAGGTCTAGACACTCAAGAGCACAGATGGATTGGTAAATATTGCTTAGCAATTTTCTCCAGATGGATCCTTTGTGAGCTGTGGGAAAAATCCTCTGAGAAGTTGGCTGAGTAGGCAAAGTGAATTTCAAAAGATCAAGCCTTGATGAAATCTGCATCTGCTTTTGCTGGGACTCTTTAATAAAAAGGGCAGTCATCTTGTCAAATGTTAACCTCCTGCCCTGGGGAGAACTGGTGCTGGAAGGCACAAGTTTTCTTTCCTCCTTGTTTAATCACAGGAGGGAGAACAGATGTACCTAAGCACATTCTCCTCATACTCATAAGGCACACATGTAAGGCTTTTGTGAATTATACAAAGAGGTTCATCTTTGGAAAGAAACAGATGGACACAAGGCAGACTGAAAAAATAATAATAATAAAAAAAAAAACCTGGAAAAAAGGCTCCACACAAACTTGTCCTGGGGTCATCACAAAGCATTCATACTAAAGGTGCTAAAAATCAGCTGCTGGCCAATTGGGATCCAAGAAGAATTCACTGCTCCTAAGGAAACAAATCACTCAGTTCTGCCTAGGAAGACCCCAACATTCATGCAAAAGAGGACAGCTCTTGAGCCCAATACAAATCTTCCCAAGGACACTAGCGGTCCACAGGCTGTGTTTCTAGTAGGACAGATACAGTGAACTGTAGAAATTATAGGCGTTCAGATAAACTAGATTTTGAAAATACTGGTTCAGCATCTGAATTCCAGTGTCCTTCTTTAGACACTAGAATGCAATAGAAAATGCTTGGATAGCCAGTTTTTGAGCAAAGGTAAACATTCAACTAACATACTGAATCCTGAAACAGTGCTTTTGCTATTTTGATTGTGCATCAAAACTAAGGGAGTTTCTTAAGCAATTCATAGGCATTTTTGGAAAATTAATCTAAAGTTATACCTAGTTTGAAAACCACTGTAAAGATATGACACATGACCTTTACCTAAGGAATTGAACAACAATTTTGATTATGGCTTTTCCTCATTTACAGCACAACCTAATTATGAAACTACACACATGACCTCACCTAACTGTTGGATTTCTGGGACTCATTCCAGCAAGCTAATTCTTCAGATTTTTGAAAAGAAGTCAAGTCTTGCAAATTAAGCAGGTGGTTTTCTGAGGACCCATTCCTGCCATGGACACTCAAACTCTCCCCTCTTTTCCACATCCAGGAAGTTTCCACCTTCCCTGCAGATTCTCTAATTACTAAGCTCTATGGACCTTACCCTAAATGAACGATACCTAGAAATTCTTTGACTTTTAGGTATTATGAAGTGACTCTAATTCCCAAACTGCTGAACAAGAAGATGAATGACATATTCTTGCATCTACCAAAGCAAAATCAAAAATCAACCATCTGCATGGCAGATCCACCAATGTCCACTCTTGCTCCATGACCAGCACAGTGTGCAGTGCAAGTCCTACCTCTTAGCATTAGAGATCTCTCACAGCACAAAACAGACATAAATTAAGTGAAATTACATTTACAGTTAACAAAACTTACTGAGATTTTCAGATTACTACAGTATAGCATAAAAACTAGCCTACCACTTGTTTCATCTTCAGATCAGACATCTCCAGACCTAAAGCTTTTGAAATAACTGTGACAAAGCTGCTTTAAAACAGACAATCAACAGAAGTTTTTGACATGTACTTTTGTGCTTAGTGAGTTCAGCATGATTAGAGCTCACTAAGTAACTACTGATATACTTTCACACCACAACACATTGAAGAGGAAAGAAAAGGTGTGAGGCCACTTCAGGGGAAATCAGAGAAAAATTTTGGTGTATCAGCCCATTTTCTGTGCCATTGTTCACCTTCTTGGTATGCAGCAGCCACCAGAAGTATATTAAAACTTAAAGGAACCTACGAGAAATAAGAAATTCAGGATTTGTTTTTGAAGCCAATTTTGCAATCACTCAGCAAAGCACCCTGCTGGGATTGCTTCAAAGAAATACAACTGCTTTGCTAACTGGAGACTCAGACTGTTCTCTCATTCTCTCAGTTTTGATTTGATGGATGTCCTGAGTCTGTTTACCTACAGGAGGAAACTAAGGAAAAGACTTCTTGCTGATTAATTATGACCTATTTGGCATCAACATTTTACTAGTCATCTAGAAATAACTCTCTACGACAAATTGTTTTTCCATGTGTCCACACCTGTTTCTCCAATAAATCATACCTTTCTAAATACACAATGGGCTACATTATAGCAAAAAAAGCAGTCTAATACATTCCAAACACCACTATAAACTTATGCAATTAGCAACCAGGACCAAGTAGACTGAGCAGATACAGAACTAAATGTCCCCTTCCTCTAGGTTTCAAATTGGTCAGCAAACTGACTTAAGACCACAGTCTTTAATAAAGAATGATTAGCTTTGCACTTCTACATTTTTTCCTTATAATGGAACAAATAAATATATCAAAGGGGAAAAAAGTGTGCGTGAGGGGGGGAATGTACAAACATTAGTTCCATAGCTTCTACTCCATACTTTATTTAGTTCCATAATTTTTGACAAACTGCATCAGCCTTTGTAGCCATTTGGTTGGTCTCAAATTTCCACAGAAGAAACTAAGAGTATATGAGCAATTGCACATCACATTTATTTAAATTTTATAAAAGAAAGAAATCTTCAGTTTAGTTTGTAAATACTCCGCAGCACACCATCAACACCCAGACAAAATGGGTAAAAGTAAATGAGTCTTAATCACCTAGTGAAGTGTCCACCAGGGAAGTATAAATATGGCTCACTCCAGACATACATTACCCCCATGAAATTACTGTGCAGACTCAACAATGTCCTACAGACCCACTGCCACTGCTAGCTGTGTTTTCTAGGAATAAGTATCTTGTTCCTTATACTGAGAAGACAGTATAAGGAACAAGAATTTATCTGGGAAACAGAGATGAACAGTTCAAAGAAAAGCAGAATAGTATTTGCTTTATTATATTTCGGAATGCTTTCTTCCTGAACAGAAACTGAGTCTTCGTTTCCCGTTTTTATGGAATTAGTCTGGGGCTTGAATAGCTCCTGGCTACTGCTTTAGTGGAGCAGTATGCTGAGGCATTTTTCTGCACTAAAAAAATACATCTCTTTTCACTCCTGCATTTATATTTTTTCTCCCATCCTTTGCCTCTCCTTACCAGAGTATCCTGCACACTGCTCCATGATATGAACTGCTGACCCATTCATACATGCTTCATTGATCCTTTCACTGGCCACTTTCCACTGAAAAGTCCCAAGGTGAAGCGAGGTTAGCAACACTGCTTTGGGATCTGCAAGGCATGCATGGGAGCTGTAAGGGATGGCACTGTGATCAGGACAGAAGCTCAGGATGAAGCAGCTCTCTGTTGTATCCTTAGTCTCCTCAGCAGCACGCCACAGCAGAACAGAAACTTTATATGACGGACACACTGAAAATTTTGTGGAAGGAAGTACTGACAGTAGGGAGCCCTTAGTAAAGAGCAAGAAATTATTTGACAGATGTTAATGCACCCATGCACCTTGGACATTGCCTTCTCCCTCTGTAAAACAAGTCCTCTCATCAGAGGCTCTACATGAGTTACAGCTGAGAGAGCACAAGAGCATTTGCCTATGTCAACATTGCAATATAAATCAGCTTGTGATAGTTTGGGTATAAAATCCACTCTGCAAAACCCAGCTTCACTCTTTTATGCACAAATCACAATCAAATTCATACTTTTCTGGAACAAAGGACATCAGGAAACCTAATTCAAGTTTCTTATTCCTGCATTAGATGATAATTCTATTTCACCAAATTACTTTCGCTTTGAGATGTAGCTGCATTTATAATTATTTATTGCCCAACTCAAGGTTAAGTGAAGGAACAGCTTCACTGAGATCCTGTAGAAGCCCTTATTTTTCACAATGTGCTACAGAAGATTAATTGCTTTCTATTTCTCCAATTGAGAGAGAATTAAAATTGCCATTTGATACAAACTATTAATCCAGCAATCATTTTGAAGTAGCACATTGCTTCTTATAATTTAATACATTTCTCCTCTTATTCTATAAAGTAGTACTTGGGAACCTTAAAAATTCAATTTGTGTAAGTTCTTTTGTAGGATCTGTAAAAGATCCAGTCTTTTGCACTCCTGCAGACTCACTACCTGATGAAAGGTAGCTCTCAACAAAGAGAAAGTTGGAAATACAGCAATGTTGAGCAGATGCTATTGAAGATATTCTGTTTTACCAGCATGCTACTTGGAAGCCCTGAGGACAGTGCTGAAGCACAGAACAAAATATTTTGATAACAGAGACTGACAGAAAGAGCAAGGATACATACACATAAAAATATAATTATATATATATATATACACCCTAAATATTTGCTTGCTCAAAAACGGTTGCCTTTTTTTTTTCTTCATTTTTTTCTCCTTGAGCAATGCCACAGGGCTAAGGTCCTTCAGAAAGACATTATTTGTTTCAAGAAGACTGCTGTTATTTACAGGCAAAGTCCAATACCCATGTCTCATAATGGCTGTGGGTTTTCATTGTATAAGCAAATCTAAGGAACACTGAGAATGAAGATAATGAGAAATTCAAACAGTAGCAAATCTGCAAATTATTCCAAACACTAACATTTAGGAAAACACACTTGGACCTTACATGTAAAATACCAAATATATGTTTCCTGTTTTCAGCACTCAGTAGGAGCTTTGGATGCCCAACCTTTTACCAGTGTGAATGAATAAAGAGCTGCCACCGTAAAAGCTTTTTCTTTCTTTTTCTGATTTACCTAAGCTAAGGAACATTTTATAGAGGTGGAAAACAGCCCTGAACTGGATGGCCACCATGGCAACTGCCTTAACATTCTTTTAGCCTTGATTAAAAGCTCTCTGCCTGGTCCCAGGAGTGAAAAAGAAAATTTCTTCATATATATACCTAGTTCTTAGTTAAGAGATGTTTTAAGACTTGCTGTAGCTCCTTGCTATGACTATGGCACAAAAAACATTATTGCACAGGTTGGCTTCTTTTCCTTTCCTTGTCCTTAAGCATTTACATGACAGTAATCAAAAGACCATTTGTAATCAAAAGACCACAATTGTAACCAAGACACTAGGATCCTGGGAACTGCATTGAAAATAAAAGTTAAATTAAATATGTAAAAATTCAGAATGGAAATCTGTGTTGAAGCACTTTTAATCTCAGCTCTTCTCAGAGAAACTGGAGGAAAAGCTTATCTAACTTCCCCTTACTCGTTGCACTAGAGATTCAACCTTCCAAAAAAGGAACTGCAGTTCAACATATTGAGCAGTGTTGCTTGTTTGTCTCTCCATCCTGAAAATAACATTTTGGATTGGGTCATAGTCATGTCTTGCCACCAACGCAGGAGCAGAAGCAGAAATAGCAGCTTTACTTTTCCATTCTGGAGTGAATTAACATAAAAAGACTAGCATTTACAGCAAAGTCCTAAGATTGGCAACCAAGGCCAAATAAAGAAACACCTCTTTTCTTTCTAAATCTACATCCTATCAGGCATGAAAGAGCCCTCACCAGGGTCTGCAGCAAGAAAACCTGTGTTTATCCTTATCATTCATAATGACAAATGCCAGAGATAGCCACTGGAAGTGAAACCTCAGCAGGGGCTATGCATTACTAGTAATAACAGAAATAATCAAGCTGTTGTTAGAACCAGACACTCAGACAGCAAATTCAATTTTTTAAAAATTGTCTGTTCAATACCAATGACAGCTACCAGCCATCATGCATTACAATTAGCTCATGCTGCAGGAATGCCTTCTGCTCTGGTGCACAACGAGTGAGCTGCAACAGAGTGCAGGACCTGGGGAAGAGGCGAAGAACTTTTTGAGGGGTATCACATATCCTTGCCAATTGCTAAGGAAACCAGCTGCTTTCTTTGGGAAGACTCAAGGGCTGCCTCCTTCACACACTTATACTATGAGCATTATTTAACTTGCAAAACAACAAAGGAGAACTTTCAACAATTGCTCAGTTGCTATATAAATTCATACATTCTATATAATTACCATTGGTGAGTCAAAATAAAAATATCCTTGTAATTGCAGAAGGATGCTGTTCTTGTGGGTAGTTCAGGTAAACTAAATAAAAGCTGAACAAAATTCAGGTAAAGACACTGGGACTTTTTAATATATGAGGACTGGTCAGCAGAGCACTGCTTCAGTTACTGTAACATCATTCTTGAGTTCCTCTGTCCTAAAACAGAACACATGCTGTGGGCCCTTCCTCCAGCATACTCACATACAATTCTTCTACTGCATCCCAATCTAAATATGTGTCCTCTTCTACAGAGTTTTACAACTGCAAAGTGTGCTTTGATTCTTAAATCCTCAATCAATAGCAACTGTGAGGCAAAAGCTCTCCCCACTCTTCCTTCCCACAGTGCAGATCTCTGCTGTATGTTCAGAGTATTTTTCCATTATTAGCTGAGACCCAAAAGCCCTCCACTTCTGCATCCTGCTGCATGCTTTCATCTGCAGAGTACTTACAGAGAACTGAGCCCCAAAGTCTACAGACCTACTGTGAGCAGCATGCCTGAAGCAGAGCTGGAGATGGCCTCTGTCCCTTCAGAGAGGCTTTCTAGCATTTCTGTCAATGGTGGTGCCCCACTAGTTCTACCAATGGCAGAATGGTATCAGAAAAGAAAAGAAAGGAAAAAAAAAGATGAAATCTGCCTTTGCTCTCAAGGACTACAATATAAACCTCTCAATTATTCAGGGCTGGAAAATTCCACCGCAAGAAGTGGGAGCGCTGCACATTGATCCAACACAGAATTAGCAGTGGAAATGATGTATGACACTTTTTGGCAAAGAAAATACAGAAATACAAAGATCTTTTGTAGACATTGTTGAGTATGCTAGTGTGTTATCTTAATTTTTGTGTGGCCTCTTTAATTTTTACAGATGCTATTTTGAAGTTCTGTCTACTGTACAAAGCTGTTAAAAATCTTCTCTCTCTGCTGTTCCTGTACATTAACTAACATGAGATAACACATTCTCTAGAAAAAAATTAAAATTAAGAAATTTGTATTTTACTTTGAAACACTAGAAATGCTGTCAGAAATGGCTTAAATTCTAATTAGTATTAGAGAAGTTGAATACAACTTTTGACACCTTGAAATAAAACCAGAAATAAGTGCCTGTCTGAAGACTATTCTAGTTGCTGAATCTACCAGTGTTCTCTTCCCTCAATACTTGCTCTCCCCTGGTGTGAATGCTGAATAATTAAACAAGTCATTTGAGGAAGAACAAAGCTTTTTGACAAAAGTAATTTCACATTTTAATTTTCAGAGTCAGGTATGCTGTAGGAAGTGCGATAGTATTAATTCTGCTATTAATTTTAATTACAGATATTCTGTAAAGTTGAATGCTGGTTCAGTATTGGTGCAGCACTATTGCATAAAGTAAGAAAGACAAAAGGATTCGGTGTTTTTAAGACTAGAAATTGAAAACATTTTAAGCTTAAATCCTGACTCATTCAGGAAGCTTCTCAAAACCTCTCGAATGAACTATTTCACAGCATCCTCCTCAGGCAGTACAAAGAAGGAAATCCAGACCACAAAACTGCAGGTAGCATGGGCTGAGATATCCTAAATGGAAGCATGCTTGTAGGCAAAGCTCTAAGCTTCTGGATAATTTAAGCACAAAATACTTGAACAGAAACTAATGACATCAGTGTGGATCACTTCAAGATCACAATTTTGGACTTAGTCTGACTGAAATTGCTCCAAGCTCCTTCTTGATCTGGTCCTACAATTTCACTAAATTATTTTAAATTTCAAACTTTTCCATCAGCATTAATGAGCATAGCACTAAACTTATGTATCTAGAACAGCAAGGCTCTGTCCCTCCCATTCTGTCAAGCCTCTGTGAAAATGAGATGCACCCCCCTTGCAATGCTCTTTAGGAGCAGCAGTATCTGCTGGAAAAAAATAGCATTGAACACAGATGGACACCTTCCATACAAATCTGTTTCAATAACGCAGTAAGCAATTACTGTTAGAGAAATAGTTTCTTCAGATAATTAGATACTTAAAAATTGAAGTTGTTTATGTTTATATAAGCAGTGAAATTATAGACAGAATTATGCAAACAAATCCATCATGGACCATGAGCTCCTGTCAGGTTGCTAATGAAGGTAGAAAGCAGTAATCTTTCTTTATAAGGTTCTCTAATGACCATGATAACAAACCAATTTTTTTTTAGTGCTGCACATTTCCCTTCCCCCATTTTTTCCCCACTAAGTATCAGTTCATACTGACAAATGCTTTCAGAAGACAAAGAGGATGAAAGAGGCTTGAAGTTAACACTCTTCAATTATGCTGACACTGAAATTATTAAATTATGTAAAAATACAGTATTTCATTGTCTGTTTGACTCTGATTCCTACCTAAACAAATTTATGGACTCTGTTAAGGTACATTTTGTTGTCACTTAAAATTTGTTTCAGAGATGCATTTAACAGACAATTACCTCTTTTATTTTACTGGAAGCTTTAAAGGCTTATAATACTGCTCTCCATCAAGAACCCTTCCTTCAAGACAAACACTTGCTGTTTACAAAAGATCCATGAACACTGGTTAAGAAAGGATTGTACATCCAGATAGTATTCAGATATATACTTTCCTCACATAAGGATTTTCTTTGTCTACTGCATACAAACCCATATGTTGCTTTTAGGAAAAAAAATAGAGACATTTCCTATGCTCTCTGAGTCTTCTCATTATATCTGGGCCCTGAAACAAGTTATAATGGCATTATTTGTTGATTCTTTTGTTTGATGTTGTAATGATTCTAACATCATTACATTAATTGCCAGAATTAGAGAACAACAAATTATGTCAAATAGCATCTTATTTTGTGTGGAAATACCATAGTGTTAAGTTTTGGCAGGAAAACTTACTATCAAAATACTATAGATCTTAGGTTTGATCTCCTCAAAAGATTATTTCATTGCTGATGCAAAACACACTCCACAGACATTTACCTTAAAACTGCATGATAAATCAAGCTAACAGCCTCTTAGAACTAGGCCCAAGCAAGAAGATAAATATTATTTTATCCATAAAATTTCTGTAGCACTCTGAAATTATCTGGAACATGAGGCAAACATAGAACAATGAACCAGAGAAAGAAAAAAAAAAATGTAATTTGTTGCAGCTTGTTCATTTGTGAATGCAGTAAGAACAGTTGCATATCCGAAGATAATACTCATTTATCTAGCTCATACTTATGAAGCACTTCAGAGATGAAAAATCCTCCAAGTGCTCAGCATTTGCTAAAATAGGAGAAAATAAAGACACAGATATAAAATAACACATTGCTGACTTCTTCTGTCATGACAAAATAGAAATAATTACTGATTTATCATCAATATATCTCTATTTTTCTACTCAGACAGTAACTAGGATCAGTCTATCAAAATAGAGATAATTACTGAAGAATGAAATCCTGATGATGCCAGACATGCAATTTACAGAATACTGCTAGATGCAAATACAGAAATAATATTTTCTTCCATGTGCTTACAAAACTGGGCACTCCACAGTATCACCTGTTGCAGAGTGCTGAAATGGAAACAGCAACGTACCCAAATGGTTTGAAAAATGAGCATACTGTTTTTGAGAATACCTGCCTGAACACACCTCAAGAATCTATGCCATGACGTCGAATCTATGCCATGGAGCGACAGACACCAACTCAACCTGGGCCCCACCCAATGGCAACACTTTGAAAATCTTTGCACTGAGCAGCTCTGAACATGAAAATGGTGCAGAAAAAACATAATGAAGAAGACCAACAATGGCATGAGTGAAACAAAAGTATTTCTGTTTACAGTGATACCACATTTTGTCTTGAACATAAACAAACAATTTAAATGGCAAACATTTGTATAAAAAACTTAATGGAGGACACTGTACTAGGCTTCTGGTAGAAATGGGTCACTTAGGCTCTCACATAAGCCAGCACTTAGGCAAATAAAAATAAAAAAGGTAAATAAACACACAAAATGTTTTCAGCCTTCTCTCCAAATGATTTATTGCTGCCAGAGCTCTAATCTAATTTTAGGTGAGCACATCCTTTTTTCTGCCCTGGAGCCTTTTAACTCAATATTGCTCTCCTTCTAGAGTCATAAGAGTACAAGCTCCCTCAGCCACCACAGATGCTGTGCAGTCATTTTACTTTAGCTGTTTGCTGTAAAAGTCATCAATATCGCTTCATCCTGAAGAGACCTTTTCTAACAAAAATGAAAACAAATTGCTAACATTAGACGAAACTTTGACCTCTGCATCCCAAAGTAGGGGAAGTAAGATCTGAACTCCTTGTTGCTTTGAAAGCTTCCAAAAGCACCTCCAGGCAGGCAAACTTTTAATTTTAATAAAATATTTCCTGAGCTGCCAGGCTGAGGTTGCCTCCTTGCTCACCCTGCCCTAGGAGCCAGCCAGCAGGTCCAGGCAGCCAGCTGGGCTCCCGTGGGCCTGCCAGCACCACAGCCATCCTCCCTCCAAAGCAGCAGCAAGTGATGTGAGGTCTTTGGGGAAACCATTTCAGAAATCATCTTTTCATCTGCCTCCTTCCCATCTGTTCATCTTTCCCATCCTCAGTATTCCTGTACTACGCTCTGTTTCACAAACACTGTTTTCTGTCATATCTTCTTGTTCCGGCCCCTTGTTATCCCTGGCTTCTCATGTGCTGAACTGAAGCTCAGTCTGTGTGAGAAGGAAAATGAAAGTCTGAAACATTTGCTTGTGGATTGCTATTTTCTGGTCATACACAACTATTTGTTTCCCAAACACCAAGAGATGCAGTGGAATGTAAATCTGAACGATTCTTACACCACCTCCAAAACAAGACCTGTAGGGAACTGCAATCTGCTTCCCGTCACACTTACCACATGCTGGGACCATGACTAGGGAAAAGGATGTACCAGAGGCCAAAGAGATGAACTAGCTTGCAAAATTGTTCTCAGACATGTCTCAAGATCAGAGAATAGCTAAACACTTAAAATCACCACCACAGCAGGGAGTCTAAGCTGTAGACACAATGTTTTCATTTTTAAACAAGAGATAAAAATAATGCATCCAACTGAGCAGGCAGCTGAAAGACTGAATTGCAGGGAAAGACTGATGCACTAGAGATTTTATACAAACTCCTTGACTCTTGTTTTCCAAATATGTAAGGAAAACAATGCAGTAAGCACTGAAACTAAATTAGCATTTGCATGTCTGCATTGTCTACACTCAACAGGTCCTGTGCTACAATATATCTTTAAAACTAGGATTTTCACACAGATGGATCTTTTCTGGAACATCATTCATACGTCAGACCATCTCTTGTGCATATCACTTACCATAATCTCCACTAGGCTATAGATGTAGCATTAAACTGATAAATATGGTTTTATAACAACACAGTAGATCCAGATAATGTCATCTAAGTTGATTTGCACTTCGTTTCAAGGATCCACGATACAGAGATAATAAATATGGTACCAGACTGTCAGGCAAGAGAAGCTAGAAAAGACAGATGACCTCTGTGCAATACTTCACCCTCTCCTCTCTCAGGAATGTATAATATGAAGGTGTGCAAGCAGACACAGTCAGTCACCACTGACACCAACCAAAATGTCACCAACTTTATTAGAACACAGAATAGCATAAAAAAAAAAGTTATGAACTGCATATTTATAGCTGTGTTTGCTGTGTCTTTGTCTCCCTGAGCGCCTGAGAGAGTGGAACAAAATTGCCAGCAATCACATAACGTAGATAGGTTGACAAGCTGGATGACCCCATAAGTCTTGTTCACATCTCATGTCTGTGCTCTTGACTTGCATCTTAAATAACTTCCATATCAGGACTATTGCAGGGAATCTGCTTTTCCATTCTAAAGGGTTTCTGCCAAATTGAGATCAAATGATGAATGCTTTGTTCTACCTGGCCATCTGGAAAAACAACCCAGCCCTCCACCTCCTCCCCCTACGCCTGGAGTTACTGTCTGAGACACCCTATGAGTGAAGGTGTGCACTACAGAAACGGACGTGAAATAAATTAAAAAAATCTCAAACACCAGAATTGTTTATTACCTTGCAATGCGACGACTCCTTGACAAACACAATTCCTGCCCTCTCCTGACGCACAGCAGCCCAGCTCCCCCTCTGTCCCTCTCACTCTGGAGTCATCCGGAGTGGCATGACACAGCGGGAAAAGAGACCGGTTCACTGTGAGACCTGCTACTCACTCTCTTACAGTGTAACGGCCCCCCTTCCAGCCACACAGGGTCCCGACGGACACAACCACCCAAGCCTGGCTGCTCCTCGGGCCCAGGCGCAGCACAAGGCGGTGGAGAACATCTGGTGCCTTCTGCATCACTGCAGACCAGGCCACCACATAGGCGGTACAAATACTTGAGGAGTTGCCATGACGAAGGGCAACCACAGTGGTTGGCTTGAACGTGCGGTGTGACTGCTCACACCAGCTCCCTCTCAGCTCTCTCTGTGCCAAGCCACTTGGAGCATGGACACTGAGGACACAGCAGCACGGCATGCAGGACAGCAGGGATGGAGGATGCAACCCCTGCTCTTCCATTGCTCAGGATGTCCAAGCAAAAGGTTTCTCAATTTGTAATTTTCACTGTATTTTCAAGGAGAACAGCAACCAGCATTCTCCTCTGCTGTTCAGTTAGAACACAACCAACAGGTTTCACCTGCGAAGGCACTCGAGCAGCTGAAGAAATGAGTACCAGATGTACATACCTGCTTGCTGGGCAGTCTGGGGGATCTGTTGACTCCGCTGTGCGTTGTACTGAACTGAGCCAATGGGTCTGTACTGCTGAGTTGTTGAGGTAGGGTACTGACCAGATGGGTAATAATACACTGGCATCTGCAAAGAAAGAGAACAATAAACTCTAGAGATCAAAGATTCATAAAATAAAACAAAACAGGGAAGAGGAGCATAAGTTCAAATCAAGCATATTAGTAGTAATGCGATCAAGAGATGAGGTTTGCCTCCCATAACCTTCAAGAATTGCTGCTTGCTTTCTGCTGTGCTAGGAAAAGGACTATCAGCGCCCACATTTCTTTTCAGATACTTTAGGAAACAGGAAAAAAATTGAAAGAGAAAAAAATATAGGATTCATAAAAAGCTACATGTATCTACCAAAGAAAAAATATCACAGTAATATTTTATCACAATAACATATCAAAAGCTGCAGAAAAATAGATGCAAACAACACCTTCCGTATCAACATAACACATACAGACGTCATGTTGAACCATTAAAGGAACTCTGGAGAAAATGGTCCAGTCAAAACAAGGAATGGCCTGGAGTACAAATATATAGAAACAAGGTGGAGAGCAAGATGGAGTGTGTGCACCCCTAACACTTGTAAGGAAATGATCAGATTCATGCTTCTGTTTAACATGTACATCCCTCCTTACATAAACATTTCCCTCTAAAGCCTTTCTTGCTCTTATTGTGAAAACAATTACAGTTTAAAAAAATCATCATCGCTGTTTTCTTGCAGGAGCTGAGGATAGGCATTAAGTCAGCAAGTTTTGCTAGATAGGCTTCTTTTTTCTTCTATTATTATTGTCAGTACAGAGAAACACGTACTAGGTCTCCTTATCACACAGGTGAACGTGAAAGTTTGAGGCTGACTGAAGCAAAAGATTTTTCCTATACATGCCACACCACTGTTACTGAGATATTTGAGCTAAACAGGTTTCAACTGACCCTTCACAAGTTCAAAGCACTCAAAATTTTTCATTTTCAGCTGTCAGGGATACTGTAGGCATCTGACAGAGTTTTGCAATGTGTGGTATGAACAGACTGCAAAGGGACAGAGGTTTGGGGGAACATCGCTTCTCTCTCAACTTCTGCCACAGCAGTCAGCATTTCTTAATAAATGATACAATTTTTCTGTATAGCATATATATGTATATAGCATATATATATATATATGCTGTATACATATATATAATTTTTTTGTGCATAGCATTCATCCTATGTAGATATATGCAGTCAGACCAAATGCTTTTTTTTTCATGCAAAAGCAAGTAGTATTTTTGCCACTTTTATTTGCATGGAAGAAATCTTCTTGATACAGATAATTCGATCTGATCACCCACAAAGTTTTCAGAGTAAAGGTAACTACTGCTAGGATATCGTAAGAGACTTATTTTCCTTGGAAAATTTCCAGTCTCAGATGAGGAAAAAAGTGGCATAGACACAAAAGACTAGAGAAGAATAGGCTATGGATTGCTACTTGGGCAAGTAGAAGCCTACTGAATGAAAGCTGGACTGGGCAGTGTCGGTGAAGTGAACTCCACAGACCAACTGACAGTCAACAGCATCTGTCATCTATTCTTCAAGGTCTATTAATTTTCTTTTCAAACAATTGATTTTCCCCCCCTCCCTCTGCTTATATCAGCCAGAGAAAAACAAAGTTTTGACTGGAAAATGTTGTAAGCTACACTCCCTCCAGACAATAGCCAGTGACACCTAAAGGCTAGTGCCTGCCCTCATGACGTTTATTTTGTTAGTGACTAATGTAACAAAAACAAAATGCCTTTGTAGAATGGACACCACCGTTGTGAATTTGTTTCTCTGCAAAGAAAAACCACAAGGAATTGGAAAGTGGGCCCACGCATTTAAGGCGCAGAATCATTCTTTAAGCAGTATAAACTATAGATCAGAAAGTTTTGTGTGATAAACTCAGCTCGTGGACATCTCTGATTGTTCTCAGCAGCACTCTGCTACAGGAGGCTTGAAAGAAATGAGGAGACCCACTCTAAGTCAAGTCAATACAAATATTTGATCCAGCCTTGGAGGAGGGGAACAGAACAGACATTCGATCAAATATTCTTTTTTTTGATATTAACATATTCTACAAACTAAAGAATATTAAACCCCTGTGGAAATACTCTCACTTATCCTGCCAGCAGCTTAATCTCACTTAAAGGATTTATTTTATCTACCCTCAACTTCCTCATTTTCCAGTGCAGACAAGCCCCTAGATATTTAAAATAACAAGAGCATTTGACAACGAGAATTATCTCTTTGGAAATTATTCCGCAGGTATTAACCTTAAAACATAACCTGAAGAACCTAAGTTTTGAAGTCAGGTTTATAGCTGAACATGCTGAGCACAAATACATAAACTGAAGCATACACTTTATTTTTACCACACACATAAAACCTCAGCATTAGTCAAAGGGTTATCTCCCTTGATCTCATTTTCTCAATTCATTGGAGTATGTTTGTTATGCAATCCACTTAAAAGTTTATGAGAGTGCAATCTATCAGCATGAAAAAAATCTTAGTAGTAGAAGGGTAAAAAAAAGTATTTTACTTACAAAGTTTAATGGAAGAATTAGACAGTAGTCTTGCTGACTACTGACATGACATGACATGAAAACAAGAGGTTTAGCTTTTGATGGGTTTTGTTGTTTTGGTTTTTTGTGTTGCTGTTCTTGGTTTTGTTAACTCATTTTTTGTTTGGTGGGGAAGTCAGGTTTGTTTGTTTTTAAAAGTTCACACATTAAAAGAAGGCCTTGGTGTAAAATATAGACATGATCTAAAATAGGTCTTTTACGCTTGAGGGGCTTGGAAAGATCTGTTCTCATTTATCTTGAGTACATCTCTGTGTCACTAGTTAAAATGTTATTTTTCATTTCTGATTCTACTTTGGTGAACAGTGGAATTAGAGGCATCAGAGATAACAAGTATCACATCATCTGCTCTGATCCTCTTGAATTCTTTAGTTTCTCATCACATCAGTGTTACTAAAATACTGTTTACTGTTTACTTATGTGCTCTTCAACAAAAATACATTTCTGTAGCAGCCAACCAACATGCCAAATTATACTGGAGTTGCATTCCCATGTGACATGCACAATCCAACCTTCAACCTTTTGCTTGTAAGACATTTTATTTACACAACCAGAAGCTTTCCATTGTGCTAACAAGCATGCCAATGAAGTTGTATGGTTACCCTAAAACTAAAATTAAATTTACCAAATTCTAAGACTAAAATAAATTTACCACTTCTAAGACTATAACCTAAATAAATGCTACCTTCTTTATGCTAAAAAGCATGTTTTTTTGGTCTTAATCCTACACACTGTGAAAAAAAAAATTAGTATGATTTTTAATAATTACCTTGTTTTTAGGTTGACAATTCCACTGCATTCTAATTTTTCTCTCATATACAATATTTTAACTGAAGTTGTAACAGGGCTGGGCATGCCATTTCAGAGACACTCATGAAATGGCACAGTCAGACATTACTTTCTCCTCTTTCTAATGTGCTTTGTCCCTAGATGATGTGCAGAGACTCAGTGCAGCATTGATTTTCTGCTTTGTTCTGTCCACATACAGCCTGGAGCCATTATGAGGCTGGGTGTCTGTCTGGCTGCCCTCTAGCAGCATCCATGAAATTCACTGGCACCTTGTTTTCTTTTCCTTGTGGCAGGATCAGGTGTCCACATATACTTCAGGATGATTTTACTTTCATAAACTGCCTCCCTACGGGCTTGATTCAGCCATTGGACTGGTACTCTGTCTTCTCTTAACACTGCTGATATCCAAGCAGGTTTAGACTAGCACATCCATCCAGCTGCTGACACCATTGCTAATGATACTGATAGTCACAAAAATGGGAGTGAAGAAGGACAAGAGAAACCCCAGTGATGCATGGACACTTGAAGGTGCCATTTCTTCCCAATACCTAACTGACAGGGATCAGTCATTCTTCAAGGTCTTTTCTCTTCCTCCCTGTCCCCTCCATAAAAATTACAGTAGCAGGTAACAAAAAATAATGCCTTGCAAGATGTTTTCCATTATAATTTTCGAAGATCATCAAGCCCTGCTAATTTGCAGTGACTCCCCAGTCTTCTTCATAACAAGTTTCCTAGAGGAGATAAGCTATGAATAAAGATTTTGTCTTAGGGTCATTACAGACTCTCAAGGAGAGGGCTTCTGCAAAGAGACAAAAGATTAAAGATGACACAAAATTAATTCAGATGAAAAATCCCTCAACATGTTAACTATATCTCCAGGCCTCTCCAAGAATTCATGCCATCTCACTTCTGGAGACCATTTTGCCAGTATACCTTCCAGAATGAGTCAGAGGTGAAAATAAATTTTCAGGGAGAATATCCCTTGGCATTGACACAATATTCATATTTTTTCCACTTCTTCATTTGCAGAGGCCAAGACACGCACCATTGATAAAAGTACTACAAAGGAGAATGTGGATTCCTCTTAAGGTGTTTGGTCCATAAGTGCTACAGAAAAACTATCAGAAAGAGAAGAAAATTGAAAATAAAGAAAGGAAAGATATATATATATATGTTCAATGTTCATGACAGAAAATAATCAGGCATTTGCTGTAAAAATCCCTTTCAGAAAACTGCAGGTAACATTTGGGATTTGGGTTGGTTTTTTTGTTGTTTATTTTTGTAATTAGATGAACAAAGAGAAATCCTTATTTTTATTTATTAAATTATGACTTTAATAAATTTGTGGGATATTGTCAAGCTGGGGGATCCCTGTGATGAAAGAAGAAGCAAAGTGAAACCCAAAGGTTTCTTTCACCACTACTTAGGCATGTCATTTCAAATTCAGTCTGCTTCTGCTTTAATACAGACTGTGAGAAAGAATCTTGGAGAGCAGCTGTAGAGCCACGTTTAACTGAACTTTAATAGAAAAGCTAGTAATTTGAATGCAGTACCATTGGGTGTGTAGGCTTGAAGCATTTCTTTCTCCTCCTTCCAGCTCCCAAAGGAAATTATCATACTCAGGATCTCCACCCAAGTTTTCACTGCTATTTTCCAACAGCATACAGGGTATCACAGCCAACCTTATCAGCAGTGCATTTACAGGAACTAATTAGCCATTAAAGTCATGCCTCTTTTAAACTGGTATAAATTCAATAGCAACATTTAAGATATAAAAGTGCTTTTACATTGATTGCATTGCATTGATTAATGCAGCACATAATGTTTTGCTTCCATTACCATCTTTATGGCTTTCTTTTTTTTCTCAGAGCCTGCCTCAGACCACCTGCTATGGTGTCTGAGAGCAGCCTTACTATTGCATCTAACCCCCAAAGAGTAAGAAAGCTGGCTCAGACTGACGATAGCCACAGCCACAGTAAAGCTGTGCCATGGGCAGAACAAGTATTGGGGATCTACCTGCTGTGTACAGAAAGCTAAGCTCTCAGGGCAGAACAACTACTATTGCCCAGGGGTGCACTTTTACTCTTTATAAGAGGGATCCCCTATTTGCTGTACATGTGCTGCATGTAGTATCCAAACCACTTTCTAGGACCGAAGTGGATGTATAAAAACTTGAAATGTGAATCAGAAGCTCCTGTCTGTGCATGCAGAGGCACAGAGTGGCTGCCCTCTCTCCCTTCTGGCAGAGCAAGGCCACTGTGCTTTCAAGGGATAGGGCCATGGGCAGCAGACACTAAACCCTGCCATATGCCCTCTTCCACACGTATCTGACAAGGATTTTTTGGAACAGGAACAAGCTGCAGATGGATGTTATCTGCAGAACTAGAGGAAGCTGACAGCACTGAATTTCTCACCTTTCTACACATCCCCCCGAGGACAAACAATTCCACAGTGAAATAACTGAAGTTGTTGCAAAGCCAAAAGATATTTTTCTGCTGTCAATAACTTTCCACTGTGTTAAACTATAGGAGCAAAGCAGCTGGGGAATGGACAGAAACACAGTGACCATTAGACACACCAGTACTGTACTGGTGCTACAGCCCCCCTGTACATGAAAAGGCACCTCCTCATCACTTGGCCTGTGAAAAAGTAGCCTGCCTCTAAGGAGCACCAGTACAAGGATTAACTTGGAAAAGAGCTTCACCAAGCAATACTGCACTGTGCTGAGTGAAAACCCTGTGTCCTGCTGTAAATGCAGGGGTGAAATCCAATGCTCCCACAGCAAGGCTCAGCCAGGGGCAGGAGCAGTGGGCGAACCTATGCAGCCCATTGCAATGCCAGCCAAGGTGGGTCTAGCAGAGACTCTGGGGCAAGCTGAACATGTGGCCTCACACGAGGGAGTGAAGAGGTGGAGGGGGGTCCCTGTCAGGACAGGCAGCACCATCCTGCAGCCCACTCAACTCCCACAGCAAACCCTGGCTGGCAGAGCTGGGGAACATCAGTGCCTGCTGTGGTGGCAGCCTGCAGCACGGAGGTGCTCACATTTACCTGCTTCACTAGAAGTTCATGAGCTTGCATTAAATGACTGAGGGCACCTGGGGGTCGAACATAAGCATTAAAGCCTGGACAGCCTCTACTAGGAGACACAATCTAGATGGGAAGATGGATTCATCAGGGAATTTTGCTCTTTAGGTCATTATTTTCTCCCAAATTTTAAGAAACCACCAAACCTGCCACATTTGGCAAACTGTGAAATATTTTCCTAGCAATATTTTTCTAGCAGTATTTTCAATTTTTTGTAAAAGAAATCACATTATATCGAACTTCCGCTCCTTCAAACTTGTTTTTGCCAAGCCTTCTTTCAGGAAAAATAGCTGCACATGTTTTAAACACACAAATGCATTGCAGAAATTATGGACTGCAGTCCTCTATGGGATGTCAGCATCCAGTAGTCCTCAGATTTCTTTTACTTTTAATTAGTGATCTAATTAACTAGATCCTTAGCCCACTTAAAACACTGTAACAGTAAAAATTCTTCATTCCTATGTCAATACTGAATTTCATTAATAAGCACAAGTGGAAATTTTCAGTGAAGAAGCAGTAAGCAAAAACCGACCAACCAAACAACCGCTTCCAATAAGGTCTACAATGAAGTTACATTAAAAGAAATGGTGGAGTTTTTAACTTTATTTTTAATTTTTTTTCTTCCAGAGGATAAAATGGAAACAAGAGGAATGCTATTAATACCATTTCAAGTGGAATTTAAATGAAGTTATTTATAATTGGATAAAGAAATTTGTCTTTTTAATGTGTATGCCTTGAAAATTGGCCAGAAAGTCATCTGTGCATTTTACTTCTTGACAGTAATCACTTTCAATATTCTGTAAAGGTACCCAGGAGACAAGCAGAGATGTTTGGTAGTGAACGGTAAAACATAATCAGTCTTCAGGAAGACAGTTAAAATTACTGATCTGTGACACCTCACATGTTCAAGTCAATTAAATATGATTAACGACTACCTGGGCTGATGTGCATTTTGCTCTTTTGGTTCATGCACAGGCAAAAAGGAGTGTGGGCATTTACTCACCCTCCTCCTTCATATTAATTTGCAGATGTGTCATGGAGTATGAACATATGTTCAGAAAACATTTTGAGGAGAGGGAAGGAAATGATGAAACCCGGGAAACAACAGAGGCTTTGCAAGCATCCTGCTGCCTAAAGACCTGCTAAACTTTTACCAGGGAGGAAAAAAAAAAAATATCTGGGATTTATATTCCTTTCCTGATGTTGCAAAGGGCACCGTGCCCACGTGGCAGCGGAGTTCTGCCTACCTGAGCAGGTGGCGGCGGCTGCTGCACGAAGCCCTGGGGCGGCGGCGGCGGCTGCAGCACCTGCTGGGACACCGGTGGTCCTGAACCCGTGAAGCCTCCTGGGGGAAGCTGCTGGCTCGGGGAGGCCATGATGTAACCTGGCTGCTGGGCAGGCTGCTGCAGGAGGGGCGAGGGGTACACGGGGCCAGAAGGCGACTCGGGGTTGTCTCCCGATGACTGACGACTTAAGCTCATCTGGCTGAACTGCGCTGTCATGTCATCTCGCTGCGGGGCAGAAGGCAGAGAACAGGATATAGACGTGGTGCCTGGAGCAGGCACATGAGTTAGCAAAGCAAAATATGTTCAGAGCATGATGGGGGGGAAAGGAACCCCTCAGCTCTGACCCATGTCAAACTTTGCAAGGATATCTACAAAAATGGAGGCAATTAAAGCAAAAATCACCATAAATGCTTTGACAAAGACTTCCAGATGGCAAGGTGAATGGCATCATTTGGCAAAATAGCCAATTATTTTGGCTCTTTCCCCCTGCCACCCTCACCTTTAATTCCAAAATGACAAGTGAACTTTACAGTGTTCAAAAGAAGACATTTTAAATGTAAAGGGCATGAAAATAACATTATGGATACCTCTATCCTCAAATACAAAATTTGTCAGCCAAACACATTCTAGTAATTTCACCTGTGTTTCAAATTGATTCCAAGAGGAATTTAGCAGGATTCAGCTGCAGATCTTTCCCTTTTTGGACTGCTTTGAAAATCCAAGGTTGTAAACACCAAGAAAAAAAAAAAAAAAAAAAAACAAAAAAAAAAAAAAAAAAAAAAAAAAAAAAAAGCTAAGCCTAACATTGCTATTTCAAGGCTTTTTATTCTGTGTGTTGGAAAGAAACAAGTTCTATATTAGATTGAAGGGGGAAAGAAAAAAAAATAAATCTTTGTTAGGATAATAGTACCATATAAAGTCAATGGACCTAAGCTTCACTACATGCTACTAATAATACAGACATCCTGAACTGTATCTGTTCATTCTTGCAAAAAAGATTAATACTATTCAATGCTCTCAAGTGTATTCTTTGAAGGTCAAAGATTTACCAATGTGTGTGCGGTTCTGAGCATCTTCATTTGTACCTTTAAATACTTAACTTAAACTCCATTGTGTGCTAATATGCTGATTACAGATAGGAAATAAGCACCAGAAGAATTCCTCTTGCTCAGAACGTCCATACTATTTTTTAGAAGAAGCCTCTTAATACTGTTTGCAGCCGTGTGATATTCAGTCTCCAAAAACATCCTGCACAATGCATTTAATGTCTGGAAACTTCTATATGTGTTAAAAATGAAACAAAATAAAATGAAAAGTTTCCTTGTGGAAAGCACTTCTGAGACTTACCCTCACATACAGAGACTCACCCTCACAACTGAAAGCAGATGTCATGGATCAATGTTTTAAACACTACTGACAGATCATCAGGTGGTATATGGAAGTAATGCTGTTAACTTTACCGTCAGCCTACATTCATATTCAGACACATGAGTTGTCTCTGTGAAGTTGTTCCTTTAAAAAGCTAGGATAGTCATTACCAGAATGACAAATGACTGCAAATGGATTCTGCACAAAACTTCACTGAGCCAGGAATGCCTCTAGATTTTCACAAAAGAGAAAAATATCTTCAAACACATATAATCTATATAGTGTTTGTATAATGTAATGTATACTAAAAATAGTAATTCAGATTAAGTTTCATTATTAAATTAACCAATAAAAATATTAGCTTTCTTGTGATTGTCACCAGGGCAACCTGATATTTCTGCAACAGATTTTTCAAGAGAATTAACATTATGATATGCAAATTTTGTTCAGCACGGAATATTGATCTTCCTATAAATGCTATCAATCATCTACTAGTCATTAATAACATTATTTTATCTGCAAGGATCCATTCAGCTTTGTTTCCATATCTTACTATAACTATGTGACATTGGAAAAAAAAACCAAACAATCATAAACAAGATTACTAGACCAAGAGAAAAAAAGCACCAAGCCATACTCAGACCCCAGAAGAACACTCTATTTATTTTCATCATACACGTTCCCATTGGTGCATTGTCATGATGTACAGCACACCACACCTTCTGCAGCTGGCTCACTGCTATTCTCCTTCCCAAGTCCTCTGATATCACCAAGGAATAAATCCAGCAAGTGGATTTAGTATATGGATAAAAGAATAAAAAATAAAAAATAATGATTTCTTGAGGTCTCATCTCCTGTCTTTGTGGACACAAAAGAGGAATAACCCAAATCTCAACTATTCAAGTTAGTAATTTAAGGTCACTTGGCATTAAGTGAGGAGACATAAGCTACCAACAGGCACAACGAAATATTTTTCTGGAGGGTCTGCTAAGCAGGTAGACAGCCCTGCTGTAACATAACCCTTCGGATTAGGTAACCAGAACCAGTGGGCATGCTCAAAATGCCTGCCAGTACCAAAGCATAAAGGTGAAGAGGTATTTAGACAGGGTTCTTCATGTGGGAAAACTGTTGCAGTGTTCCCCAGAGGCTCTTGGACACACATACTCACACCTCCAAATTCAAGGAAAGAAAAATAAATAGGAAATCTTTAGTACCACAGAAAACTGCTGTGTTGGAGAGACTGGCAGGAGATGCTGGGGAGGATAAGAAACTGCTGGATATTGGACTGACTGAGAAGATGGCTGCATTGTCTGAACAGGCTGCAAAAGAAGCAAAGGGAAAGACAATAAATTCCACCAGAGAAAGATAACAAGCACCATCACCACCACCTTTGTTATTGAGAACAAAAATCTCAAACCCAGCTCCCAACATACAGGTGACTCATCACCAGCCTGAGTACAAGAGGTCAAGTATTGTGATTTCATTCTTCATTTTCGCCTTATACTAAACAATTATTTATTACTGATATTTCTGCCTCTTTTTGTGGATTTGATGGCTGTTAAATATAGCCAGAGCTATACCTTCTTACTCGTAATTAAAGTTGAAGCCAAATTATGATTCCACATTTAATTTACAGAGATAAAAATGGAAAGCAGCATAGCATAAGTATATATTTGAATTTCACTGTTAGTGACTGATTTAACACCAAGTGTGTCATAGGCAAAGGAATAATGATTGTAAAGCTGCTTGAGAGAACACAAGAGTTTAAAAAAATGACAAAGAACAGGCTGTAAATTACCAACAGAGAGGCCATCAGCTTGGAGCAGATGTTTATCTAAGTGAAAAAAACAATTTTCCACAGCACTATTATCCTGGAATAGCTTTAGCATTCCTTTCATTTTAACATCTCATATAACTTCTTATAGGTTTGGTACTATCTGTCTTCTGTAACTGTGAAGACCAGATCAAGAAATAAGAGCCATAACCATATAAATCCAAACCCAGTAAAATCACAGCAGCTTCACTGAATTCAAACACTGTATAACCTAGGATGAAGCTGTGCCAAATTATAAAGCTACACAAGAACCACAGTCAATCTTGGCTGCTCTGTGACTAAGCAGAATATAGTATTCTTGCTTGAGCAGCTCCCTCCGCCTTCTCTAGGGAGAACAGGCATGCAATCCACAAAATTAGTTTTGAACCAGACCCAAACACTGCTGCCCATGCTCAGCCACATTTGGCCATATGCCACAGCCAGCACAGGGACCAGAGAGCCAACATTGCACTGTGCTCAAACAAAATTGCTCTTCCTGCTGCAGCTCCAGAACTTGTACCTCAGAGCAGGATCATGGCCAGACTATTGGTGCAGGCAGAAAACCTCCAAACTGGGGCAAAGGCGCTTGGCAAGCACCCATAGATTGGGCCCAATACAACTGGACATGAAAGGGTTTGTAGAGCTCTTGCACCTTATTCTTTGACTCAAACCCACTGTTGTCAAAAGAGAAATGCCCCTGGCTCTTCGGAGAGAACTACAGACTGCACTGTTTTGAGAATGAATGGTTCCGCTTCCACTAATGGGTGAATTTTTCAAACTAATTTTATGCAGACATGCACCAACACACTTCACAGTACTTTTGAAAATGAAATCATCCTTTAGATAAAATTGAAGATGTAATCTTCCCTCTCCATCTGCTTTATCCATGTTGAAAAGAATATCCTGATATTTGGTCTGGCTCCATTCCTCCCTTCTTTCCTCTAGGTCACTCTTGCTATCCCTAAGAGCTCCTTCTTTTTCCCAATGACACCACACCTACCTGTGTGACAAGGTGACTTGCCATCTGCTGCTGTGGCTGCTGAACCTGCTGAGGCTGCTGGGGTGAAGGCTGCTGCTGAGACTGTCCAACCACCTGGCTCCTCATTGTCTGCTGGCCACTGGGAGGATTGTATATTGCCGGTGTCCCATCAGGATTTACAAACGGTTGACCTGAAACAAAACGCCCGGCTCTTGCTGGACACTTTTAAGAACATACTGTTTTCTGTGTGAAAGCAAACAATTTTGCTTTAACTGATTGCTCTTCAGCTGACCTGCTACAAGAGTAAAGTGTTCATCACTCTCAATATCTCATTATAGTAATTACAGTATCAGACAGCTTTTATTTTTCTTTCAGGCAAGACAGCAGATATTTGTTTCAGCAGTATGATTTTCCAAGGAATGAGTGGAAAGTTACCATGGCTATAAGATGATTCAGATGCTATGGTTACTTGAAATCATTCACTGATGAATCAATTAACATTAAAATTGAACTTTGGAGCAAACACTCCAAAGGTAGAGAATGTTCCCTTACATTTTCCTCTAACACAACACAGCAGTCAAATGTACACAACTACTTATGAAACAATATAGTCTGTAGAAAAGGGGGAAAAAAACCAAACCCACATTTGTTACTAATTTACTTATACATTCTAATAACAGAGCTATACTTTTGAGAGTTGTACCCTATTTACTTAGTGGAGCTAGCACTCCAGCTTTCAAGGAAGCAACACTTCAGTTGTATTTAAAAATCTCTTATATACAAGACAAATTCTTTTCAGAGTTCTGCTAAGTTATTGAACTAATTTTGCTTCAGATAATTAAGCCAGGGGAAATAACCTTGCAAAAACAATATTTGCTTAAGATAAAAAGTCTACCCAAGTCACTGTGTTGAAAAAAAAAAAAAGAAATGGTTATTTCTCAGTAGGAAAAATATTTTCCATTATCTCAGTTCTCTTTTCACTTCCGTGATGAATCTGTAAATCAAAGGAATTATAAATGCTTTCACGAGGGAAAAAAAAAAGTAATTTTAGCAATGATGTGATAACCTTTGAAGTAGGTAACTAATGAATGAATATCTGAGATAAAAGGAGATCTGGAGGAGTTCAGTGACTTAGAGCAACAGTGAAGTAATGAACTTCTGATCTGTACCCTATGAAGCATTTCTACCTGTTCTATCTACTCCTCAGCCTTCTAGTTTCTTCCTCCAATGAATCATGGTCAGAAATGCATGAAGAGCATTGGCTAAAGAACCTTGCCTTCTTTCTCTCTAAAGCATCAAGTTTCTGGATGAACTCAACACCACATTCATGCTGAGAAAGGTCATGAGCGAGTGGAGAAGAAGCACAGAGCAGTTCTGTCTACTGATTTCCTGATCCTTGCTGTGAAGCCACAGGGTAACTATGGCATGGACTCCCAAGCTTTGGGAATCTCAAGCCAGAGAAGTACTTTAGAAGACTGAGTGAGCAGGATAACACAGTCCCAAAGCCTGTGTAAGATCCTCAAGGAAAGCTAATAAAGAGCATTTCCTGTGGCTTAAGGAAAGACAGCAGAACTCGAGGTATAAAGTCCCAACAACACTATTAAAGATAAAAAGGAGAGAACTTCTCATTAAAAAATCTTGAAATCAGAAATGAAAAGGGGAGATCAGAAGGTAACAGGGAAGACATTTGTAAGTTATGAACTGTGGCCCTGATAGAAGGGCGAAGATTGCAATGTCATTTCAAGGAGTATGTATGAAAAGTAAATGCTCTTAAATTGTCAGAGGGGTTAAGGAAGAATGTGCCAAGAGGAATCCTTTAAAGGGTAAAACAAGCTGATGAAGTGAAATGGAGAACACAGCAACATAAATGGTTCATTGCCAAAGCAAGTAAAAAGCTTGACTATCTGGGGAAGGAGGAGGGTAAAGCAGAGGAGAGAAAATAAACTGCAGATATGGAAAAGAAAGTGTGGATTCTCAGCATCTGGTAAGGAGCAGTTATAATCAGATCAGGAATAAATTGACAGCATCTCTGGATGCCATTAGAGGCTTGCACAGTCAGTGACTATGTAGTGTGAAAGGAAGGAAAGATCTTTAAAGGACACGGTGTTATGATCAAAAGAGAGAAAAAGACTGGAAGAAGCCACTCTGCAAGAGGAGAAGAAAGAGCTAAAGAATGGTATTACATAGGGAAAGAAAATCTATTCATTACAGGAAACAAAGATCCTTTTTCCTTTTCTTTCAACTGTCCTCTCTTCATCTCTGTTTCTGACAGCATCCATCACTTTGATAGTCGATCACAGCATCCAGCAATCAAAATCTCTTCCCCATGGAGCTTCTTTTGTAATGTTTCCCTAATAAGATGCAAAGATTCTGAGCCCAAAGAGTGACAATTTTGCAGCATGTATTTTTCCGCATGTGAAAAACACAGCAGATGTCAAAATACAGTCTGATTTCCAGCAAAAGGTAGCAGCATGAAGCTAGAAGTGTGAGACAAGAATTTCAGGTTTTTAAAGAATCTGCTCTCTCCATTACTTTACTATGCATATATTTACATGGGAGCTGCAGAACCGAAACACAATGTTTGAAAGAAACACAAAATAATATATATACAAAAAATACTTGCTCCCTGAATGTTAAACATACAAACATGCATGGGTTTCCCAAAGATGCATCTGCAGATGGAGGCATACAGGGAGGAAAGATAAGGTGCTCTGGTCTAGTGACAGTATTGAAAGGCACTATACCTATAGCAAAAAAAAAAAAAAAAAAAAAAGACTCCCTATGTACCAGGCTAAAATCTGAACTAGATGATGCAATTTGCTAAATTGACAAGTCAGATGTAGGAGATGTTCCTCTTAATGACTCTTCTTGCTTTCAAGTGTGGTGAGCTCCAGTCTCTGCCCTTGCCAGGAACAAGCCCGGCCAGGAACAAGCAGTATCTCTCAGCTGTTTGTGGGCTTCAAGCAGCATCATTTCCTTTCTTTTTTTTCTCAGTCCTATCACCTGAATTATGGTTGACTCCTGCTAGGCCCGATGAGTTTTGTATGGAAATGGACCATATGGTGGAACACAAAATGTTTTCTTCTTTATTGACCAAGAAGTTTCAGTGTTGCAGAAAGAACTGTCAACTACCAAAACAGAAATGAGCAGATGAATATAATAATGAATCTTTTCCTTGCTGACAGTATCAGGCTCTCATGTCAATCATGCAATAGCTTGGAAAAAAGTACACATAAAGAGTAAAGGCTTCAGAAGAGTAAAGGTTTGTGCACGTTACTAAGTCACCTCTCTGGGACAGAACTTACGAAGAAGCATCACATCCTCAAACTCCCTAAACCTTCTTAACACTAATAGTACAATACAGTGGGGAGTAACAGCATAACATGATCCAGATTTCATCCAGACCAAAGAGGTAACAAATTGCCTTAAGCTTTCATCAAGTACTCAAGTTCAAACTGAAGAGTTTCAGAAGTGCCTACAGCACTTGGGTGCTTGCAAGTGCCTCATTTGTGAGCTGCAGTAATGAAAACCATCGGGAATTTAAGAGTTACATCTTTCTCTTATCACAAATTTTACAATTTAAATACAATTGCTAATCATATAGCTCAGATGAAATTAATTCTGAAGTGCAGATTCAAATGCAGCCTTTTAAGTCTTTTAAAATTCTGCTGTTAAGCACAATCTCTAAGAATGTGATGTTATATTTTGGTTGCACTATATCTCAGCCTGCTTGATATAGAAGAGCATCTGTCCTTATTGTTGCTAAGGGGATCTTAGAGGATGCACTGAGAGCCAGGGAGCACCAGGATTGCTGAATGATGAATATCCTGTCTGGGATGGAGCAAGAGCATTTTGTATCACTTCACACCAGCTATGCCACAATAGCCTCAGAAATCGAATCTATCTTTGCCTGAACATTTGGAAACAACAATCTGCCAAACATATTTGCTCATAAAGTACCTCCAGAAAAATATGTGTAGAAACAAGAATTTGCCGATTCACCAGCTGACATCAGAAACACCAAGGGGCAGAATCAGGCAGGAGGGAGCTGTACTGACCTGTGTGCGGGTTGAGAAGGATACTGCCAGGCGGTATCCCTGCAGCTTCAAGTGGAACAATGATATAGCTGGTGTTGCTGGGGGCCACCTGGCCACTCATCCCGTTCTCAGGGTAGGACACGCTGCCTGAAGAGTTGGCTGTCACCCCAGGGACAAGAGATGCACTTTGGAGAGGCTGATGTATTCGTGACAGTGATCCTGAGGAGCCAGCACTGCTGGAAGACTCTGAGCCTAGTAGGGAGACACAACCACAGCAGGAAGGGGGGGTTACAAGGGATGCTAACCCCTATCAGATGGGATACATCCATAAGGACAGTCTTCACAGACTGTAAGGGCATGCACCACTCCATGCTCAGCTACTAGGATTTTCATTCCCTACTGAACCCAGTGGAAATTTTCACAATCCAAAAGCCTACTTTCCTCATGAAACATCAGTTTACCCCAGCCAATAAATCATTTATAAAAGAGGAATACAAAATCCTCAGCATATATTTATAATGCCAAGGTATCAGTTTATAAGGCATAAAAACTAAACAGAGTGCTTATAAATTAAAAAAAAAAAATAGAACACAAAAAAAAATCACATTTTCCATGTGATTTTTTTTCAAATATTCTCTGTAAAGCAACAGCAACTGAGTTATGAGTCTAGTCACAGGTAGCTGTGTAATATCTATATTAACTTAAAGCTACCTAAGATATTACCTAAGACTTTTGCCACTTTAGTTTTTCAGCATCAAACCCATTAAAATTGATAAATCAAGAAAAATCAACTGTGATAAAGGACATTTTTGCCTGGAAGAATGGGAAGACACATTATTTTAAGCCCTAAAAATAATATTCAAACTTCTGAGATACTACTTGATTAGATTTTAATTTGCTTCACAGAAAAAAAGACAATTTCTAGAGCATAAGGCTCAGGTGGTCAGCTCCCTAAAGCAGAATGGTATGGATGCTTACTCCACAGAGCAAAGTATGTTTTAATTGCAACTTCTTTCATTTTACTTGAGTCCACTGTCTATGCATCTAGTCTCCACAGTGTTCATCTGCAGGTATAGACTAAAAGCAAGGAAAGAATTTAAGACTTCAGTTTAGCAACCTCTTAGAGGCAACTTATATCCTTTCAGAGATGGGATACTGCAGGTGTAGTAGATTGCTTAGAGCCTCAAATTCATTTTCACTCAAATGCATTTGAAATTAATTTATTTTCTCATATTTAGAGAAATGAGAGCAGAAGATATTTCTTCTGAAGAAATTACACCAGCATCCTGTTAGTTAACAGAGGATTTTTCCACAGATTATTGCAGGTTGCTCTGTAACACACATTTTTAATCCATCTTCTTCAAACTTTGGGTTCATAAAGCAATCACTACAGACACAGTCCTCTTTATGAGCTTTGCACTATTTGCCATCAGTAAGACCCTACATCTGCTTCTCCGGTATCTAATCAGGAAAGTAACAGAGATTTCCAAATAATTTTTTAGTTTAATTAAGTCTTTCAATAAAACATCAAAATTGTATTAGTTGCTATATTTTAGCTCTCCTTGTAGACTGAGGTTATAAATGTAGAAATACTATTCCAGAAGAAATAGTTTTATCTATTAGATAATTTCAGATTCCTGTGTTTCTACAAATTGCAGAGTTATTCCTGGAGGCCATCCTCATCAAGCTGCAAGTAGGATTTGGCATCTTCCTTGTAACTGTAAATGCAGCTGCTGGAGTTCAATTTTCCTTCCACATCAGCTACAAGGTCATTTGCTGTATTTCCCTGGCCTTTCTACATGCACTTCATGTTGAGTTCTTGCTTTACTTTCTCGTCTTTTCCTTCACCTTTTGAATTCAGAAGGTCAGGGAGATGGTAGTGGTGACGAGATTTCTTAAACCTCCCATTATTTCTACGTGTGCGTGTGAGTAGTACCAAGCCCGAGTTCAGACTCTCTCCACTTTCTGTGCTATTCCAATGAAATGCTATTGGCACAAAAAAAGACTGCAGCTCTGACATTCAATTGTTTTCATTTTTTTCCTTCCCTTTCTGCTGTTCTTATGGCAGAATTATGTATTGATCTACACCAGCTTCTGAATGATAAAAGCCAGAGAACTGCAATGAGTTCAGGTGTACTCATCATATGGAAGCAGTGCAAAATACTTTGAGGCTATCACCACACATTGGTCAAGCTGATAGCTTTGAAATGTCAGCCTTAAAAGATGCAAGATCTACTCTCCCATGTCAGTAGATCAAGTCAGTGATTTTGAAATAACACAAGTCACAAAACCATATCAAGAATTTTCTGAATTTAAAAAAGAAAAAATTCCATAAATTACTGCTGTACCAATTTTTCCCCCATTTATATTGTATAAGAATGATCCACTTTATTTAGTTCTATTATTGTAACTTATTTCCTATAATTTTAAATCTACACTTATTAAGCCAAGTAAATTCCCACACTAATATTTGGAAATTAACACAAATTAATCTTGTCTTTGTAGCTCTGATTAGCTGTTTTCATGCTGCCTGAATTTGGAATCGGAAATCACTTTATAATGAATTCAGTACTGTAAAAAAGGGAGAAAAATAAATTATCTGACTTTATTCAGATTCATATTAAAAGATGTCTTGCAAAAGACTTCTGAAAGGAACTTGGACTAAATGAGATTTTTGCCCCCATTACACAATCTAACCTCTTTTTTTCAGCATGTAATGATGGATAGTTCTTCTAGATTATTCTATAATTTTCTTGCTGCTTCACAGTTGAGATAATAATAACCTTCACATTCTCATCACTTTCCATTAATATATTTTTAAGTATTCTGAGAGATACAGAAGTTCAAAGAGCTGTAAAGAAAAAGAGACAAAAAAAACACCAAAAATGCTTAATAGCTTAGAGGGTTTGCAGAGGGAGAGCATGGAAGTACCATTAATTTTCCAATATTCTAAGAAATAGTGATGCAATATGTCCTGCTCTATTTTCTTGGATCAGCATATAGTATCTGATGACTTTGAACATCTCTGCTCATCTCACCTTTCAAGTCCAAGGCAAATTTCTCCTCTCTTATCAACTACACTCTCAAATCTATCCACTATCACTGCTTACTCTAGACCATCACCATTTTCAGGAACAATAGAACACTGGAAGTATTTTTGTCTTGGATATAGATTCTTGGACTAGGAATATTTATTTGCTACTTTTGTAAGTCACTTGCCTTTCTCTACACAACAACATATTTAGTGATTTTTTTTTAATGAAATGGCATGTGCTTATGTGAACATGATTATTTCTCTCTAAGCTGCAATTCTAAAAATAAAACTGATGTTTCAGCACAGTCGGTAGGAAGATTATGACTGGAAGCAGTTGGCTTGAGACCTGCTGCCCATACATCAATATTCTGACAGTTTTTGCTGGACTTAGAAGATTCATCAAGCTAATGCCTAATTCAAGTAAATTATAAAGAAGGGAAAATCGAGTTCCAAAACTCAGATAAAAAATATAATATACAGGACACTTTATTTAAGAAACCCCAAATCCTAAACAACAAACCAACCAAACAAAACAGCTAAAGAAGGTAAAACGCCTGCAGTAATGCATTGAAATGCCTTTCCCAACAGGAGTAGTAATGAGCACCTAACAGGAGAGATTAGACTGTGTCTCAGATTACTTGGAGCCCTGCCAAGGAAGCTAATGATCCCTACAGATCCGTATCAACACAGCTAATACGCCAATGCAACCAACTTTTTGCAACTAAGGGGGAAAGAAATACACTCTGACAGATGTGCATTCCACTGAATGGAAAATGCATTAAGAGAAGCTAAAGGTGCAATAGCTACAACTTTTAAGCCTCCCAACAATTATTTAACTAGATATGTAGATATGTCTAGAAAATTTATTTGAACCATGTCTTCCCTCATGATGTTAAAACCTGTTGCAATGTGTGTCAGTGACAATAACATAGTAGTTGATATGCTAGATTTTCTCTTTTTGGGTGTTACCGACCAAACATGTACATCATCATGCCCCTACAGTGACAACTATTTCACTTGCCATTCTTAGAAAACCCTGAGAAGTTTACTGTATTACTAGAAAGCTAAACAAACCAACATTTTGTATGATGTTCTAACTAGCAGGAATGCAATCTGATTGAAATTTGTTAAATAATTAACTCTCCATATGATATTGAATTATAGCTTAGAACATCTCTTTGTACCTATTGAACTACGGAATAACAGAGAAATTTTATTTCCATTGTACAGTCTGTGCTTTTCAGTAGAACAGCACAGCACCTAAATGATCAACAGGTGCATGAAAATAACCAACAGAACCAATAAGATAACCATGTAATGGGTTTCAAACAGCCCCTTTTGTGAAGCTTGCAAAAATGAAGTAGCATAATTCCTTTGCTAGGCTCCAATTCCTGTGCAGCTGAAAACAATAAAGTCTAAGACTAATTGACACAACTGGACTCTACTGCAGAGAACAGCATGTTCTGTGATCTCTCTGTGAGCCTAAGAAGAAGCTAACATCTTTCTGTGCCTCAGTTCCTGCTTGTTTGCTGTGTACCATTAATTACTGATTTATCACAGGTCAGGGGCAGAACATTTAATTTTGGTGGCAATGTGAAAAGCGATCCAGAAAGGCTACAACATTTATACTGCATCACCGTATACCCTGTTGAAGGCAGCTGTGAGCCTTCTGTAAAAATCCTGAAAATTTTAATACTCCAATGCTCAGGAAGAGTGTTTAACAATGTTTCTGGATGACAACCATGTATATATATAGAGAAAAAATTTCACATTTAAAGAGACCATAAACATATTCTGTCATTTAGCCAATGAAGAACATTTTGACCAAATAATGATTTCACACTGATTTCATACAAATGATATGCAAGACAAAAATATTTTAAATTTATTACTGTGAACCATTAAGCTCTCCAGAGAAAAGTCTTTCTGTAGGAGAACTGGGACAGAATTGGTGCCTAGCAGACTCTGGCATGCTGCCAGGGCAGCATGCCTAACATGGGTAGCAACATCTCTGCAATTCCACTACTGTAGTGAAGACAAGGAAAAAAAAACAAAACAAAGCAAAATCACCCAAAATAAAACCACAATCAACCTTTAAATTTCTACTGAACTACAGAACACCAGGGTTGCCTATGGCAAAAGCAGAAAGTAATCAAGATAGTCAAAACAGTCACAATCAAGTATCACTTGGCACCTAACGTACCTTAGAAAATGCAAAAAGCACATTGGCTACTGTATGAATGTATTTCGTTTTTATTTGGTGAAGGGAAAAGACTTTATCAAGACATATTTCCCCATTGTTTTTTGAATTGTAATTATTTTCTGCTTTAATGCCTTTCAATAGCATTTTAGAGAGAAGGATAGAAATAGTGATTAGGATAGCAGTTCATATGACTTTTTTCAGGCTGTTTGACTTTGTGTTCTGGCTCTGAAGGTGTCTATTTGTTTTGACATACAGTGTTGCTCTTCTTCCCCAGTTCTTCCTTTTATCTGGTTTCTCTTTTATTCTTTTTGTGCCTCAGCTAGCTTTCCAGTTTAAATGCATTCCTTAAAAAAGTCAAAGCATTTAAAAAAGAACATGGAGTTTTTATATCACTGATGTCTTAAAAATATAAGAGTTTTCCTTTGAAAGCAATTTGGGGTTTGGAATCTACAGGGTGCAGATGCATTTACAAGTATTGGCAGGCTTCACAAGTCCTTTCTTTAATACCTTTCCTAAGTGCATCCTTTTTACTATGCTTGATTTTAACACTAAAATGGCTTCTTAAAAATATTGCCCTTGCAATTAGATGTCTCCTCCAAACTGTATTTCCCTGACACCATTTTAAAGGCTCTTCACTTCTGCTACACAGTGCAACAGAGAAATATATTTGCCTGCACTCTACTTAAGAATGATACAAAAAAAGTATAGCAGGAGCCTGTGTCTCATCCCTAATTCTTGTACATCAAATTCAGTTCTGATGCTATTCAAATATTCATGGGAGGCAAAGAAATCTGGAAGTGAAACCATGGTCTATTCCATACTTCAAGCCCCACTGTATAGCCTATCTAGTTTATGTTCAAATAAAAAATACACTGGAGTGTAATTTCAAAACTACATACACACTGAAATTGCACCTTGTCTTCCCTGGGGCAGATCCCATAGGCAGACAGAACATGTGATAGGGAAGATTCTGTCATCTGTCCACCTGGCTGAACACAGGGACGAAGGGACAGGGGGCAATGGCAACAAGTCTCTGCTCAGCACAGCAGGCAGGTCTCCTGTGTGATTATCTCACTGTCCCAGGCGCCCTGGGATAACAGATGTGAGGCTCTGCAAGTGGAACCAAACAACAGCAAGGATGGCTGTTCACCTGCTTGGAGGTTACTTCAGACTGCTCCCTGCATCCAAATTGCTTTCATATAGAAAAAAGGAAGGGTCGTGGGCATGGGACACTTGCTTCTGAAGGGAACAGAAGGCCTGATATGCTGATTAGACTCACTTCTTGGGGTTATCTGCTGCCTCCTCGGTGCCTGAGTTAAAGATGTGAAAAGAAATCTTTTACTCTGATACAGCTCTCATTACTGATTTTTCAGTTAGGCAGCAATGCTGTTCCAACAAGAAGTCCACGTGTAATCCAGAGACTTCAAAGCCTTGGGATGATTGCTTAAGGGATCAGGACAAAAAGTAGTGCTCTCTTCTGCCCTTCCACTTGCAGAGACTGATGAAGGAAGAGCCAGCAGATTAAGAATAGACTCTGAGTCTGGGGTCATTGACAGAAATTTTGGGGTTTTAACTACAGGTTGGTTTACAGAACACCAAGCCAGTTGGTGACAGACAGGGTACACATGTCTCAAAGGGGGAAAGGTATCTTTGCAGAGGAGTTATCAGGCCTTTAAATTAGATTTGAAAAGGGAAAGGGATGCAATGCAGCATGCCAGTGGGATGGTGTGCTAGTGAGGTTCTTCAGCCTGACATCCCAGTGGAGGCAGGGGATGGAGATGCATGTGGCAGTGAAGACACAAAGGTTACTGATGTGTTAGAAATGAAAGAAGTGCCTGAAAATGATCACTAGAAATTACAGCTTGTTCCCACAAAAAGGAGGATTCAATCAACAGTAACTCAATTTAAGGGCATCCATACAATGCACATAGCAAGGGTAGAAAACAGGAGGAGCTGGAAGTAACTGCAACACAGGACAGCTGTGACACAGCTACCATCACATGGTACCATGGTGCCATCACATTGCACAAGGGGAGGGCTGCAGTGAATGGCTGGGAACGTCTCTGAAGGCACACACAAGGAAGGATATGCTTTGTATGTTAGAGAGTGTTTTGATTGTCTAAGAGCTTGACAGTGGTGATGAAAGGGTTGTGTGTTTATGGGTAGAAATCAGAGAAAATGCCAGAAAAGCAGATGTCATGATGGGAGTTTGCCATAGACCACCCAGGCAAGATGAAGAAGCAGATGCAATATTCTATAAGCAGGGAGAAGTCTCATAATCACTGGCCCTTGTTCTTGCACATGACTGACTTACCAGCTGACTTCTGGAAATATGACACTGCAGTGAGGAAACAATCAAAGAGGTTCCTGGAATGTGTGGAAGATAACTTCCAGGCACAGCTGGTGAGGGACCCAGCTAGGGAAGATGCCCCACTGGGTCTGTTTTTGTGAACAGAAAAGGACTTGTGGGTGATGTCATGGTTGGAGGTTTTACTTGGCACAGTGATCACAAAAAAGACAGTTTTCAGTTCTCAGGGAAGTAGGGAAAGGGGTCTGCAGATTGACTGCTTGGACTTCCAGAGGGAGACTTTGGCCTTGGAAGGCAGTCCTGAAGGACAAAGGGGTTCAGGAAGGCTGAACATTCTGCAAGACATCTTAAAGGCACAGAAGCAGGTTGCAACCATGTGCTAAAAGACAAGCCAGCATGGAACATGGCCACCCTGGCACAGGAAAATAAATGGTTATGTAGGGAGAAAAGTAGAAAGGCCAAAGCTCAGCTAGAACTTAATCTGGCTATGCTGTAAAAGAAAAAAAAATGTTTTATAAACATACTAGCAACAAAAGGAAGGCTAAATATGATCTCCATCCTTTATCAGCTGGAGCGGGAAACCCAGTCACAAAGATTGAGAAAAAGGCTGAAGTACTTAATGCCTTCTTTGCCTCAGTCTGTAATATCCAGACTGTTCTCTGAGTACCCAGTCCCCAGAGCCAGAAGACAGAGACAGGGAGCAGAAAAAGGCCCCCAAAACCCAAGGACAAAGTCAGTGATGTACTCCACCACTTAGACCCATGGAAGTCTGTGAGGTCAGATGGGATCCACCCACGGCTTCAGAGGGAGGGTGAAAGTGCTCACTGAGCCCTTTTTCATCATCCATCAGCAGTTCCAGTGGGATGTTCCAGTTGAGTGGAGGCTAGGAAATGTACGCTCATCCACACGAAAAGCTGCAAGGAGCATGTGAAGAACTAAAGGCCCGTCAGTCCAACTTTGGTGTGAGAGAACTTATGGAGCAGATCATCTTCTTCAGTGCCATTATGTGGTATGTACAGGACAACCAGGCAAAAGGGCCCAGCCAACATGAGTTTTGGAAAGGCAGGTCCTACTTAACTGACCCAATCTCCTATGACAAGGTGACCCACTTAATGGATGAGGGAAAGGCTATGGTTGTTATCTACCTGGACTTCAGAAAAGCCATTTTTCAACACTTTTTCACAGCACTCTCCTGGAAAATCTATCTGCTCATCACACAGATGGGTGTACAGCTCACCCCGGCTGATGGTCAGGTCCAGAGTGGGGGTGAATGGAATTAAACACAGTTCAAAGCTGATCACAAGTGGTGTTCCCCAGGGCCAGTGCTGTTTAATGTCTTTATCCATGATCTAGACAAGGGATCAAATGTGTCCTCTCAGGAAGTTTGCAGATGATACCAAGCTGGGAGAGAGTGTTGATCTGCTGGAGGGCAAAAGGGCTTTACAGAAGGATCTGGACAAGCTGGAGCAATGGGTTGAGGCTAATTTTGCTGTTCAATGAGACAAAGTGCCAGATCCTGCCCTTGGGTCACAACAACCCCACATAGTGCTACAGGCTTGGGAAGGTATGGCCAGTGGAAAAGGACCCGAGGGTGTTGGTTATCAGCCAGTGGGCCAGCACAGTTGCCAAGAAGGCCAATGCCATCCTGGCCTGTATCAGCAGTAGTGTGGCCAGCAGGAGCAGGGCAGTGATTGTGCCCCTGTACTCAGCACTGATGAGGCCACACCTTGAATCCTGTGTCCAGCTCTGGATCCCTCATTATTAAGAAGGACACTGAGGTGCTTGGAGCATGTCCAGGGAAGGGCAATGGAGCTAGCTGGTGATGGGTCTGCAGCACAAGTCTGATGAGGAGTGGCTGAGAGAACTGGCTCAGAGGCTCAGAGTTCTTTTTGCTCTCTACAGCTACCCTAAAGGAGTTTGTAGCAAGGTGGGGGTAATTCTCTTCTTCCAGGAAAAAGTGACAGGATGAGAGGTAATGGCCTCAAGTTTCTAGAGGGGATGTTTAGGCTGGATACTAGGAAAAAATTTCTTCAGTGAAGAAATTGTCAAGCATTGTAACAGATTGTCCAGGGAACTGGCTGAGTCACCATCCCTGCAGATATTTAAAACACATGTAAGTGTGACCCTTGGGAACATGATTTAGGGGTGCACTTGACCGTGTTATGTTAATGGTTGGACTTGACAAACTTAAAGGTCTTTTCAACTCAAGTGTTTGTGATTGTCTAAAGTTTTAAAATATGTTCAGCCTTCAGAGATCTAAAATGTAATTACTATTTCAATGACTTTATTTATTTATTCTAAAAACTTCATTCCCCAGCATCCTGAACCACACAAAAGCTACTGTAAAATTTGGGGGATAGGACCGAAATCTGACCAAGTCAGATTTGATAAACTGAGTGTACATTAAGTACCATCCATAAAACACTCTCAAGCTGAAAGAGCACTAAGTGCTACATATTGATTACCCTCTGTCTTATACTATAGGTATCAAATGAACCAATCTGATGGAATCATCTGATGGCCTCATTATTTATTATGCACTTTCAATGTAAAGTATAATAGAATAGCTTAATGGCATAGCTTGAAATTACTTAGATCCAGACCCTGTGACTCACTCATATGTTAATGTATTCATAAAGTTAATGTAAATAAATGCAGAATTCCTGCCACATTTATAGACTCATTAAAGGATGTTTTTGTTTAATGGGGACTAAACAAGAAAATGGAGAGATTGTGGGACCTCTGTGAGTCCACCACAGCCTCAACTGCAACAGCCAAGGCAGAGGCTGTACTCCAAAATACAGATGGGGTGCACTTTGGCAAGGACAACAAAACATTCTTGTACTTCTTCTCAGGTATCTGACATTTAATTATTCAGAACTCAAAAATATTAAGATGAATAAAAAGGTAAAATCTGTATTTCTTTGAAAGGAGTATCATCTTTTCAGGCTACAAGTGCAGTATGTGCATGGTATGTACATACTATATGCCAGGGAAAGCCTACCTCTCCTGTGATTTGCAAACCTCATGCACTGCATTTTGTTCTTGAATTCTAAAAACTCAGGAGCAGGTACCCAGATACTAGCATCCGCAGAGGGACATACACATCTCCTGTACACAGAAAACACAACTGTTTATGTATTTTGCCATCTGGTCCAACCATGAGGGACAGATTACCTGGTCTCTGAAGGTCCCTTCCAACCCAAACCATTCTGTGACAGACCATACTCAGTCAAGCACCGGCACAAGCTGCTTATCACCACACAACAAGAAGCACTGTGAACCCAATACAGTACTAGCTACCTGTTTTAGACAGTTTGCCGGTACTTCTGTTGCTTGATGAGCTATCTCCTCTTGTCAGGACGGTTATCCCACCAAAACTGGCTGTCTTTGTTATGGCTGGCTTCAAATTTCGATTTGAGCTGTCCGAGTCTGTGCTGCTCCATGGCCTCTGGTGGTCTGCCCACTTCAATTCATTCTCTGTGCTGCTCTGTCGACTGCCAGATGTCTTCCCAATGCTGTCTCTGTTACCCCTACAGATATCATGAAACAAAGATTTATACACAAATAAAACCATGTAAAGGCAAAGTCTATCTTCAGGCACCCTGCAGCAACCCTAATAAAGAAAAAGGAAATACTCTGCCTTTACAAAAGCAAGTCTGAAATGGGATTTGACCCCCAAACTTATCTGCCTTCAGCATGTAAACACTGCTACAACCTTTTTACATGCACTTTTTACCACCTCCCCTTTTGGATACCTCCTCAGAACACTCTACCAGATGGGGCTGACACAGCAGTATTATGCAGCACTGATGCAGCATTTCTATTGCCCATTGAGTGTTCTCTTCCCTCAGCAAGCCCCTCACCACTTCTCACTCTGCTGTCCATCCCCTGTGATGTTTCTCTCACTGATTTCACCTGCACTCTACCTTTGTGTTCATATCCTTATTTCTATTGCAGCTTGCTCCCAGTAATTATCAGCTTTGTGAGGTTATCCAAAGCCTTGCTTAAACATGTGTCTTCTCAGTGTGACCCCAATCTCTTGACTGATAATGCTTCACTCAGAGACCCACACTTTCTTTCCCCTCTGCATAGAATAATAATGAAATTTCCTGGGTAGAGGCAGCCTGTCCTTGAACAGTTGCAGAGCACCCAGTGTACTGTGAGCAATAACACAGTCAATCCTGTGATCAGAATTTGGAGCAGAATTTGGCTTATTTATGGTAAACTACTTGCACTGTACTGCTACAATGACAGGACCAAAATGCCGACCATGTCTTAGTGCACCATGACTGTTATGCTAAGTGATGCTATTTGGAAGGATTTTAAAAGACATTTTCCACTCCTCTGTTGTATATTACAGTATAATAGCTTGCAGGCTCAAAGTTCTTTCTAAAAATTAAAATGATGGGACTGTATCTATTTAATTTTTTTGGTTCTCTTCTTCCTTGTAAACTTGGTTCCTGCTTTTTATTTAGAGAACCTGCTGTGTTGTGTCACCTGGGACATGAAGGAGCCAATATATGTCAAAGATGGGATCAGGCTGTTGCATTTCTCACCTGTACAGAGCCTCTCTCAGTGTGATCAGCATGTGATCAGCAGTATAAAACTGTTGATCTTTGTTAGACCCACACAGGGGGAAGGCATGAGGACAAACAGCACAGAAACCAACAACACAAAAAAGGGAAAATATTTGAAAAAATTTGAAAAATAAATCATTGTTTAAGATTTATTTGGAAAGAAAAAAAACCAAAGAATATTATTTACAGATTCTTTTGTACTCTTGTGCTTAGAAATTAACAATTCTCTTCTATTTATGTTCTAGTGAAAAAAGAGGGAAAGAAACAGATTGCCATTGCATTCATGTTATCTGTGGCTTTGGGTTACAAAAAATTTCTTTAATGTCTGTTTGAGTCCCCAAACTCAAACAGACATTAGCTATTAAGAGAGTTTGTGTAGACACCTCCTAAGTCCTGCATGCCCAGTTCAAGATTCTCAGGTCATCAAGGCTAACCCAAAGCAAGAAGGAAGTTTTTTGCCTGCTGCCTGTGGTCATGGGGTGGAGAAGCAGACGCTCCAGCACTGTTCCTTATCTGGTGCAATCTATCCATCTCCTCTGTGGCTGCTGTGATGACATGCAGATTCAGCAACCACACATCAAATTTTCTCCTCACACATCCATTTCTCCTCACAGTGAAAAATTATGTCATATAAATGATATAGGTTTGAAGTGACACATGCAAACCCCAATGCACACAGACACCTAGTGAATATCTGCCTTGCTGTCCATGTGCCTTAATACATGAAGGGCACACTTCTGAAAGCATCCATTCCTTTTGCCTCCTCTGCTTAAGACTTTTGGCAGCTGACTGACTCTTAAAGCAGCCTGGTTGATCTGAACTGAATATGTGAGAGCTCGTGGTGGGAGAAGACAACCTTTCTAAAACTCTCAGAACACTGCAACCACCAGATTCAGACTTCCATTAATTCAGTGTGCCAACTGGTAGAACTGCTCTCCATAAAAATAGGGACTGACTTTTACTGATTTTCTGTTAGCCTAGGATGCTCTTTGGGATATGGGCTGCATCTGAACGTGTGGAAGGAATTGGAGCTGAGAAGACAAAGTTAACAGAAAAAAGTTTCAAAACACAGATACTTCAGGTAAGGGAACTTCAATCAGTTTTGCTTCAATGTACTTTTACTTCAGCTTTTAACAAAACAACAAAAGGAAAAAAGGTCAGTCTGGGCACTAGTCTATGAAACGTGCCTGTCATAGATGCTCCAGGAAAAATGGAGTCTCTCCAGTCTCTCCCAAATAGTCACAGACTGAGCAGCTAGGCAGCTGAAAATCTCATGTGGTTCCTGAGGCAGTGACCCAAAGAAAAGGGTGCTGTTGTTACCTCTTCATTCAGAGAACATGGGAAGAGTGGGGTAGAACTCTGTTCTCCATGCTCTTTTCCAACCAGCAAACTGACATACCCACACATGTCAGGGTGTGCCTTGGCAAGTACACAGTTAGAATTACAAGTTGGATGCACTGGGAAATAAATATTAAATAAAATTCATACAAACCTAAACAGCTGTCTTTTCTTATGCATGTCATTGCATATGCTACTGTCTTCCAACAGCCTACTGAAAAATAAAAAGAGATATTATGCTAAAAAACATGGTAATTCAAATTTATATGATCTGTAAAGTTTTATTTGATTCATAGATACATTTTTTCAGTTTGAGCTAGATTCAGTTTAAAGAATCAAGGCAAAAAATGCCCCCTCCTCCCTCTTCCATAGCTGTACACAGACAACTGAACATAAGAAACATCCTCCAGCAAGGCTGAAGGCCAATTTCCTGTTACTGAGAAAGGTAATTCTCAGAAGCTAAGGAACCATACATCTACATCCAAAGGAAAATTCATAAAAATATCACCTAATAAGAACATAAAAAATGCAAGCCAGCAAAATACTGCATAGTAAATTTAAGTACTTGCTAAGTCACCTGGAAGTCTTTGCAGCTCAGAGAAATGCTCAGATCCTCTGACAAAAAAAAAAGGCAAAGCACTTAAACACACACCTAACTTTCAACATAGCCAATCAACAGGATTGCTCATGTGCACAGAGCTAAGTACAAGTTTAAGTGCTTCACCTGATCAAAGGCTGTAGGGCATGCAGCAAGAAAAAGCAGTGTTCTGCAGAATGCAGCTGAAGTCTCCCTCAGGACAGTGACAGTGCAGGCAGTAGAATTTCCAACCTGGCCTTTTAGTGGTCTCCACTTGGGTATGCATCCTCACAGTAGGCTGGTCAGTCAGCTCCCGGGTTCAAGGACAGCAAACCATGTGCAAATACCAGAACTGACCACATTCTCCTGCACACAGGCGTGGGGTTGAATGCATAAACCAGGGGAGGTCGGGCTATGCAGCTCATGGTTTATCCCATAAAGGTACCCACCCTACCCTTGCCAGTGCAGCCTCTGAGTGCCTTTCATGCTGACCTGGAAGTGTGAACAACTGAGTCATCTTTGTTGCCCCAGTCTCCCTTGAGAGGGAAAACCAAGTTTATGAGAGCATCTGCTTTTTGCTTTATGGGTTCCTCTGTCAGAATTTTGATTTATTTTGATAAAACACATCTCCATAGTCACAACACAGAAGCAGCAGCTGAGGAAATACCCTTGGCCCTCAGAACATAAGGTGGTTGGAAGACAGTGGTCATGATCTCCTGAGGGCCTTCCCTCATTCCACTTACAGAAATGTCCATTGGAAAAGCTGGTTTGTACCATTACTGTGGAGTCATTTTCTATGGGAACAACTTCACCCATAAAAGTATATGACAGACGTAAAGATGGACAAAATACTGTGAGAGAGAGCCTCCCCTTATTCAAGGGGGTGACAAACAGTTTTTAAACCTGTGCAGGACAGACTTGGGTCAGCACTGCTCAAACACTAATTAAATTCCCTCCTTTTTGGTTAAAATCCTTATCTGCCATAAAGGTGCACAATTTTAAAGATTTTAAACACAGTTAAACTACTTTACGGCTGTTATGAAGCCAACGCTACGTATTTTGTAGATCTTAAACACAGTTTACTCTTCCCTTTTGCTTTGAGTGGATTTAACATAACAAAAATAACATTCACAAGAACTATCATGCAGTAATGCAAAGTGAGCTCAAATATCACCAGCTCATTACTACACTGCAGCAGTAAAGCAGGAACTTGTGTGGAACTTCTGAGCCTTCACAAGCAACAAGTGATGTCAATGCTGCTGCTCACTCCCACAGGAGAGCAGGCTAAACAACAGACACCCAAGCCTGGTGTTTCATAAATAGCATCATCCAGCCACTGCTAGAGTGCTTTTTAAAGATCAATAAGTTAAATTCTAAAGGCACTCCAGAGTCAGAATGGTCACTTGAAATACAAGCTTAGGTGTCCCCCCGCTCTCCCACAATCTGCGTTTTAAACTGAAATGCAAAAGCCCCAGGAAAGCAGCAGTAATACTTTATCTGCTCAGACACCATACTGCAAGACAAGCTCTATTACCCCCTCTTAAAGCACAAAACCACTGCAGATAATATAGACTGTACATTAGCTCAACAGTCTTCACATTAGGATAAACGACTATAGAACTACAGATAGACAAAAAAATTAAGAGAAACAGCTATGTTTAGCGCACACACACACAAAATAAAGCTATTTTTTACCTGTTTTCCACAAAAAGGTTTTCCTGGGAGCAAACTGACTGAAAAATAAAAAAGGCATTGTATCAGACGTTCTAGATATGCTCTGCTGTTCCAATTTCTTCCTTGATTTTAGAATTACCTCCCCTGCTCAGGCTTAAGGGGATTTCAACTCATGCATCACTTGCATTTGCAGAAGACAAGAGGGGAAAGAAGGTCAAGAATAAGGTCAGGCCAGTAAAATAAATTCCATGCATTACAACACTTTGCCAATGAGGTGTCTCAGTTTGGGAACAAACTGAAACTTCTCAGTCAAGAGATTGGAAGAAGGCACTATGTGCAAAATACTGGCAATTTGAAAGGGAAAAATGTTTTTCCTGCATAATGTAAGGTTCCACTGGTCTGGCCTACCACCTCAAAATAAAACTGCAGGATAGCACAGAGCTGTAGGTAGGAAGGACAAACAGAAGGAAAGCATGCAGAATTGACGAAGTTCCTCAAAGGGAGAGAAGATAGTGCAGTACTTAGAAATAGTGTGTGACTTCACATTTTATGGTTGGAGAGGGAATATTGAGATATATGATAATAACCTTCTTAATAATAATATTAACAACAATCATAGCAAGAAGGCTCTCTGCTGGAGGACTTAGATCCCAGAAAAGGTGAAGGGCTCAAAAGAAATAAATCCTATGGGAAAGTGTATAATTCTTTCAGCATTACTTAATTTTTTATGCAGAGAAATGAAGCTGTGCTCAATTTCCCATGAATAATTCTCCCTCTTTGATTTTTTAATTTCCCTTCTATTTCATGTTCACTACACAAAAAGCCTCGTAGCTGTCACTGGATTATATCTCGATGAGGGTACAGAAGAAAGAATAGTCAGCACTTGCACTGAATTTAAACAAAAGGCAGGTAAAGGAAGAACACCAGAGACCATGCCCATTACTTCTGTAGCAATAGGACTCAGCCCAAAGAATAATAAAATGCCATCATTAACTTTGTCAAATTTTAACAGTATGGGATGGGCACAGATTTTGGATGTTTCTGTTTTGTAAAGGGTGAGCTAATTACCCACTCAGAAGAGTGTTGGCCAACACCAGAAGCAACACCCTGCTCATTCTTAATGCTCCAGCTAATGCCTGGATAAAGTTTTCCCTTAACACCAGAGCTAGTGCTGCTCCATCAATCTACAAAAGGAAGAAATTTATCCCTGAAATGGCACTACAGTTTATCATTAGAGTGTAATTCACCCACTCAGAATCCACATTAGGGAACATTTGACAGTTCTCTGGGCTTTCCAGGTGAGCTCCCACCCTGCACTCTTGCCAAATTTGCAAGGCACTGGGCTGCATCAGGGGCAATATGTTTCTCCTTAGCACAAAGCCTCAGGACATCAGGAACAAGTTCTCCATTGCCAGGAACAAAATTCTTACCAGCTACAGCAGACCTAGGGTTCCACCTCAGGCTAAGAGAAGATACAAACTGTTTCACCTCAAATCAGTGGGATCTTTTGTACAACTACAATACTGTCTTCTCTCATTTTAGGTACCTTACTCAGGTACCAGGTTTCATTAACAAATGTGCAGTATTCAGTATAGTCTGACTATGCTGAAGCAAAAAACCCCAGAAAAGCATACTGGAATAATCCCATGGGCTTGTCCAACCTCAGCTGTGGGGTCATCGAGCTTCATGATGGACATCTGTGCATTGATTTCTGTGCAGTTACACTCCAAAGCTACTCTTACCAAAAAACCTTTGCTTAGACCAGAGTACTGGACTGTGTACACACAAAGGTACAAAAGCAAAGGGGCCTGTAATGCACTTGTCTGTATTTATTTTATTTTATTAAAGTTTTTAAAGAGACTGGGGAATAGAGCAGAATAAATATCTGGGATTTATATTTTATCAAGCAAGCAGAAAGGTCTGCTTCCTCCTCAGCGTCTTGATGGGAACCACCATCAAGTGTATTGCAGACTCTAAACAGAGTCCATAATAATTTGTCTTCTTGGTTGATGATGTTGGCACAGTGCCACACTGTGCCAACACATTTCCAATCCCTGGAAATTATTCTTCAGTACACGTGTGAGGCTGAGAGGCAGAGAAGACAGGCACTTTTTTATTATTTTATTCTTACAATTAAAAATCAAGTGGCTAATCTGCTCTAAATAGAAATTTAGCTACTACAAGTTCAGGACTCACTTTCCTGATTTATAGCATCAACAGTGCTCAATTTAAAGCACCAGGAAAGCTTAAAAAGCCAGCACAGATGTTGTCTAAAAGATCCTTAAAGCACTTGACTCTTTACCCTTTAAACAGACTGGCAACAAACCTACCAGACCAAAAAATTATGTAAGATAACCTACAAGTTAGTGCCCTTGAAAATCCCTGCGTGCAAAATTTCCATTAGGATGCTCTGTATGACTAATTGCTATTTATGAAATGAGTATTTCACTTTTCCAACTTCCAAGAACCTTTTAAAGTCTGAACTGGAAAATGTGCATCAGTTCTGCAAGTCCACTAGATATACTGGGAGTTGCTGCACTTGTTTTTAATTACATTAGCAAACACAGATAACTATTAACATGCAGGCAGTGGACACCAGGTAATAATTTTCATGTTAGGTATTATCAGGTAATAATTTTCATGCTAGTTAACAAAATGTGATAGATCTCAGACTTCCAACTAATGCTTGTTATTTGATCTGTAGCCACAAAGAAATGTCTCTGTACACCAGTACAGGAGTTTTAGTATCTACAGGTTTATGGTGGCCAGCATGAGGTGTGCCTTTTATTTGTTTTTATTAATTTTAAGCCTTCTTTTTCCTAATTTTTTTACACTAGAGGTATAGAACAGGCTGAAGCCACATCTATAGGTATTTCTTTTGTTCTTCTCTTTAATCAGAGACTGATAAGAGATTCTCTGAGGCTTCTTAACTAGAGGAATCATGACTTACTGTACCTAAATGGTTCTTTAGAATACACTCCCTGGTGAAAAATAGCCACTACAGTTGACAACAGAAAATAAACACCATGGTGTTTTACCTTTAATAATTTCCTTGTGTACCATGGGCAATTCTAGCATTTGTGTAAGTAAGAAAACATCTACATTTTTCAGTGAATGCAGAATGATTCTCAGAGAACGCATTTATGAACCCTGAATGGTCCTAGCATGACTCTGGCTTATGAGGTTATACATTGCACTAACCTTGAAGAATGAAATTTCCCCCATGTAATTTGATTGGTAGTCTTTACAATCAATTTTCTGCATGCTTAAAAGCCAAACATCATGTATTATTTATGCACACATTTGGGATTCTCTACATACAGGGAAATAACTTTTTTTATTCCTGTGTGTTGTTTTTTGTCTTACTTGGACAACAACTTTTCAACTTCCCAAACACAACTAAAGCAGTTAAGACAAGGAACTTCTTTGCAAGACCCAGACTGTGCAGGTCCTCTGCTCCAGTGTACTTGGCTGTAAAATTCACAAATTGTTTTAAAACTAAGTTTCCAATACAATAAGTTTTCCAATTAAAAAAAAAAAAAAAAACCCTGGAAAATAATTCTGAGTATAAAATAACTCAGTCTGGTTTGTTTTTTTTTACTGTTAGCAACCTGAAAAATTTGAGGTGCACTTTGTAGTTCTTATTTCAGTGAACTGGAATGATCACGCTTATTAGCTATTTATTTCTTCACCATTCCTTTTATTAAAATATCAATCTAACATGCTTCCCAATCCCTGCCACTTGCTGAAACAGAAGTCATTCAGACTTCCAGCTCTCCTTGTCAAAATTTGCGATAGCCAACAGAGCAGATGGAAAACTTGCCAGAAAATATAATTTAAACTGACTAATACTAGAGTAATCATCATAAGGACTCTCATAGCAATGGCATTACTCATGAACATGCTTATTTTGCTAAAACCTTCCCACTTGGAAATGAAGAGATCTGGTGCACTGGAGTTCTGCAAGATCAAAGGAAGGACAGGCAAACTTTATACTGTTATGTGGGGTCCAGGTTAAGACATCTTTCACACCACTCAAAACATGCATGGAATGTTTTGCCCCTGTAACCAGACTGCCTTTTCCTCATAAATATTATTTAAAGTTCTGACTCTTGGGCTGTTATCTAAAGGGCTTGGGTGCCTCAAACATCTTTAGATAGGGGGTTGCTGCTGGTTGCAACAAGTTAGGGCAATACTCTTGACCTTCATGGCTGCACTTTGAAGACCTCCCGTGCAAGCTGTCTTCATGCATACTCTAATTAGAAGTGATGTATCTGTGATCCATTTGCTAAGAGTCACAAGCAAGGCATTGATAAAGGCTTGACTACAGCAGTGTAAACAATATAGAGGTAATAAAAATACAACATGATTAATCCATCTTTTACTCTCTTTCTGTATCTGTAATTTTCAAAGTAACAAGGCTTAGGTATCTACCTCACACAAACCTGGAGAAAATTAGATTAATTAATGACTGAAGAGAGCCTTAAAACTTCAATATCTTACATGCAGTGACTATCTATAACAGGAAGCTATTTTTCTCTTTCCTAAAATTGAGAAAATACATTGTCCACCACCACAACCACTGGCATCACCCTAAAAAGACCTTGTATCTGGCAAGGGGTGCTCCAGCCAAAAAAGCTCAGATAAAACATAGATTGCCTTTGACATTAAACATACAGCTTGCTGAAATTCACTGCACTATAATGCTCACTAACATCTGCAATAGCAGAGAGAGAGAGCAAAGGAGTGGATATGAGAGAGAGAGGGAGAGATCTAACACTGCTGATCTTTAAAAATGCTCCCTCCCAATTCCATTTAAAATGTCTGCCACAAAGCACACTTTTACTTAGGTCCTGTCACTTGAAAATGCCAACCCAATGAACCACAACACCCTCCTGCTGTGGGCAATTCAAACGCTCTCCACTTGCCTGTTTTTAGAACTCAAATATCTAAAGGTAACAGCAGCAATACACTATAGAGCCACTTTCAGCACACTTTTCCAGCCACCTCTGCTTCCCAGCCTGGCATTTCTAGCTTCAGCTTGTGATAGAAACTAGACTATCTTGAAAATAACTTTCCATTTGGTAATTTTTAGCATTTTGCCTCATCTGAATTCTTCATCAAAACCCAAAGATTTTTTTGGTTTTGAACAAGCTCTTTTGTAATGTGTCAAAACCTCTTATATTTCATATAAGAAACTTGTTGCAAAGTGGCTTTTCAGCTCTTGATCAACTTGGCAATTCCACCATGTATGGCCTGGGACAGTATTTGCATCAGGCCAACATGCTGACAGCAAAACAGAAACCGAAGGGCCTCTGCTTTTACTGGAATCATCTCAGCCAGGAAAAAAGTGAAGGTAAAAACATTTAGATGTAGCTAGCTATTTACTAAGATGCAAGTGGGACAACACACACTATACAGTGTATTCTGCCAAAAAAACCCAATTTGGACATGTGCAATTCATAATAGTACTATTAGCCCTGCAACATACGAACAGTTTTAGTTTAAAAGGACACTGCCCAATATGATTTTCAAAAATAGTTCTAATTCAATTTATTCCCATATTCTTCCTAAATGGCAGAACTACTATTGAGATATATGAGATATGAAACATATCATATCCCATATATCTCAGTAGATATATGAGATATGAAACAAAACATTAAAATGCTGACTTTTTCTTTTTTTCTCCTTTTATTACCTCATCACTACAGTATTATAGCAAATTGTGATTTTCTTCTTTTTTTTTCAGGAACATCAGGTATTGCTCAAAGATGTTTCAGATTTAAGTATTTTCCTTCACAGTATACCTTGCTATGCAAGTTCTGATCTTTTTTGGTAAGAGCAAGCATTTTAACATCTGCTTCATTTTACTCCTTTCAGAATGTAATCACCAACAGCATGACTGACTCTTCTTGATGGTAGAAATGCAGTTATTTAATCAGTCGTTTAAAAAAAATGATGCAACTCCATGTTTAACTTCTATCCTTTCTTTGTTCTCAGTGTCTTGATGCTACAGCATTGGCCAAAAAAACAAAAATCCATGGGGAGTCTCTGCAGAAGGACACTTATAAAGAGTTGATCCACCGCAAAAGAAACATAAAATAATACAGCTATTTGAAATTATTGAGAGTGTCCACTTAAATCACTGCTCTTTGGCTAGCAGAAGGAAAAAGGAAATAAACCTAGGCCATGTGAACATGAACATTCAAAGAAACACGATAGGCACTACCCAGAGAAGATGCTGGGCCTGATCTCTCCTCTACCATTCTCCCTGCAACTCTCACCACCTTACTCTCTAGAATCCAACCTCCACACCTCTAAAGCTCCTCTGAGACCCTCTGTGCCAGTCTGCTTTCCCTGTCACCTCCAGCTCCACAGGGCAAGTCCAGCTGCAGTGTCGTAGGAGGGGGGCAAAACTCTCTGACTACCGGCAAAGGTATGGCACTAAAGAGGCAATTAAAATAACTACTCACATCTTGTGCAAATATTCTCTCCCTCACTCTCTGATACTCCTCTTCTCTCTCTTCAATTGATTTACTTCGTCTGTCATCTCTAAATGGAAGAATTCTGTTTTGCTGAGCAGAAAGAAAACCAGGAGGGTTATATAAGTTGAGCTGTTAAAAACTGCCATTAAGTAACTGTCAGCTGAGAATAATAAATGTTCACTTAAACAAATGAAGCACGAAAATGATAGCTGTCGTTCCTGCACAAAGAACCCTGCGAGACTGGGCGCTTGAGGATTTCCAGTTCAATACTGCACATGAGTTCATCGAGAAGGTGGCCAAAAGGAGGCTTTCTGCACAACTTTTGTGGACCCATCATCCTAAAACTGGGTGTTCTCACCCCAGGTCTAAGTGCCATTGTTCTCAACTGCTAACATTTCTTGGTTCTCCTACCAGCTGTGAGGAGCAGGAGGGCAGGCAGTGGTGGACTACTTGAGAAATTAAGGAAGAAAGAGGGCAACTAGGCTGCAAGAGCTAAACTGCAAACCCTAGAAGAAACCCACTAAGTCTATGCGTGCAAGGAGAAGTCCCAGATTTTTGGCACAACAGTTTTAACCATTTTCACATCGTATGGAACCCTCTACTGAAGTTTGGCTGGAAAAGGAAGGGCCATTTTTTGCCTCTTGGTAAGCCACAGTGTGGGAAATGGCTGTGCCATGGGAAGGAGGTGAGGAGACAAGCCCCATTGGGAAATGCTTCATTGACAAATGGGTTTCAAGGACCAGTCCTTCTCCCTCTGTACCCCAGCACCAGATGGGATAGGTCATGCTGCTTTCCTTTGAGCGGTCCCCACATTCATCACACCCTGAAATTGCTTGGGGTTTGTTTTCAAAGCCAACTTGTATGCAGCACAACTGGCAAGGCTGCCATGTACAACTGAAAGTCAAGGAAAAAAGAGTGAAAAAAGGAAAAAAAAAAAAAGGTCCTTTACTGAAGACATGAAGGGAAATTGGCAACAAGAGACTCATTGGTTGGTTCTTCCATAAACATAGCCCTAGCAAAGAAAGCATATGCTGTCCTCTTACCTGTGAGAATTTTCTCATAAAAGCGAATAACATCAGATTTTTTTTTTTTTAACCATTTCATATTTTTTTTTTTGTTGTTGTTAATCTATTCCACATATACAGCTTGCACTGGATTGAAACAGCACAACACCCGCTTTTAAAGGCAGCACAAACACACACATTTCCCTGGTGCTCCCCTAATCATCCAGCTCACCTAATTGAAGGTAGTGTTATGGCACAGGCAACAGAAGGGGAAATGTCTGCCACAGTACATGCACAAGCAAGTAAATTACACAGACAGTAAAAGGTGGTGAGGGCACAGCAGGAGGAAGGGAAGTAAAAGACAGACCTCATTTATTTTTGGTCAAAATGTAATTTAGGATGGTTTAAAAAAAAAACAAACCGGCCCCAACAACAAAACCTTGGGGCCTTTTTCAAAACTTGTTTTCCCCTCTCTCCTTTTTGGGCTACATTAGTTCATCACTGGTCCATAACAACTCCAACTCTGAACTCTGAATGGGTACAACAGAAGAAGGAAGCTACAGGGAGCGTAACAACTGCCACAGTTAGGCAAGACATTGAGGAATGCGACTGACAAAGCCTTCCACGCAGCCCGGAGCCACTGGCATTCCCCCTCCCGTGGGCATGCAGCAAATCCTGCGCCAAGCAAACCACCCATGCAAACCCACACACTGCCACGGCTGAAGCGGCCACGCTGGGGCTCGGTGCCACCCGCGGTGGGATGTGTGCCAAAGGAGGCAGGGAGGGGCAGGGGGGCAGGGCAGGAGGAGAGCAACAACAAAAGAACAACAATAACATCAGTCAGCCCACCTTCAAAAACAGAACAAATTTCAGCAACTCTCGAACCGAGAACCAACCTGATTGTCTTCTTTATCAATACTAGAGTTATCTCGCTTCAAGATAAATCGCTTCTGGGATTCTTCACCTTTTTCATCTTTTAAATGTTCAGAAAACCTTTGCTCTGGTCTGCCAGCAAAGTAAAACATAGCAATAAAAAAATCTTTCTTTTGGTTTTGCTTTGATCTTTATTTCTCAGTGCTCTTTGTTTTCACAGAGGCATTCAGTGCAAAAGCAGTTAACATTTGTGAGATGCTGCCTATAGCTGTCTGAGGCTGCTGTATCGCTGCTAACTGTTATTGCTATAAATAGCTTTTGTTGTTGTTGTGTAGCAAGGAATGGGAATCCAAAGTCTCAGTCACTGAAATATTTAGACTCTCCTCACTGTGACTGAAGGACAGGGAAAACAAATTACCATACTGTATGTTAATTTGCTTCCTTCAGTAGCTGGGATCTCTGGCAACACTGCCGCTTAGTGAAGCCTATCCATCTTGAAAAGCAAGGAAAAACTGGTAGGAATCTTAAAAAACACAAAACCAAAACCAGACATCCAAGAGGTTCCTCATTCCTGGTAAGTAAAACCGGTAAAGGGAGGGACTGATGATGTTTTGCTTAAACAAAATTTTATCTCATCACCACTAAGTGGGAAAAATACTCAAGAACAATCATAGAACATCAATTAGTTCACTGATTTAAACTCATTTATTTATTTATTTTAAAATTCATACCCCAGGGTTTTGGCTCAACATTTTCAGGTTTATAAGATGTTATGATGCCATTCCATGTTCTCACCTTGTGCAAAAAGCAGTATCTTCTATCACCTCACCTTGTGCAAAAAGAGAACTTTAAGAAGCAACTTCTTTGGCCAAGTTGGTCACAGACAATGTCTCGTAGCTGTCAATAAATTACACTCCAGCCTGCATCATTCCCAGAGTGGTTAATGGTTTAAACCTGCAGTGTTTAAACTGCAGTGCTTAAGCCCAACCCCATCAACAGGGTGACCAATGGCCTCAAGAACTGAGCTCACATTCACATGTTGCCACCACCTGACTGAGGGGCTGCTACTACACAATCTGTGTTTTAAAAGCAGCAATACACCATGAGATTTGTCAGGGAATACAAGCCTTGAGCTCAATGCTGAAAGGGCTGTCAACTGCAGTGGTGGTAGGAGATGCTCATGTCTAGATACATACACAAACAAGACACAAAGCTTCCACTGACATCCATGGAAGAAAAGGTGAAGAAATCAAAAGGCAGAATGTAAAGTAAGTGGTTTTGCAAATAAGAGTCCTCTACAAACTTTAAAAAAAACCTCTCATCTTCATGTTATTTCACAACTGAAAGTAAACCAGATACATAAATCAGAAACCATTTTGTTGTTACAGTGTTATGGATTTCAAATCAAAATACAGCAGACATTCACGCCATAATTGCAGTCCATAACAATTCATCGTCAGATATACAGGAAACATTTGTAATAAACTGTAAAAAATTCAATAGTAAGGCACACCAGCTATCCTGCCTTTCTTCTTGAATTTTGAGCACTTCAACTTTTGCTCACAATTTGCATTTTTGTGATAGAGCAACAAAACACACTATCCCAATTTCCACAGATTTTGACAATTCAAGAAACCTCTGACCACCATCCATGGCTATAGGGCCCAAGTCACTAGATTCTCTAGATGCCCTTCCTTCTTTAGGAAAAGCCCGGAGGACCATGACTCTCTGCATAGTACTTTCATAATCTAGTAAGTCATTCATGATGTTTCTTGATAAACAGAAAGGCTACAAAGCCCCATTAGTGGATTGGTAGGTTGGTTGTTCTCCCTTTGCTCCCATTAATGACCACTATGCCTGCACAGCCAAAAATTATGATTCCTGCAATCAAATATTGTGGTTTTGCAGGACTATCTAAGAATTATTATTTTTCTGGTTTTACATCCTAAAGCACAAACAAGATTTCTGCAGTTGTACCATCAGTGTAACATTTAGAACTGTAACTGCATCTAAAAAAACTATATGCAAAATAAATAAATAAATTAGATTTTAAAATATAGGAAAAATGTCATTAGAAAAAATCAGAGAAAAAAAACTTGAAAAAATTTTAGAAAAATGTCTCCTCAAATTACTCACTTATTTAAACAATAACATGATTTTCATATTTCATAGCATTATTTTTAAATTTTAAATCCCATTTTCATTCATTTACTATTTAGAAACCACAAGTCAAAATTAATGATTCAATATGTGCTTGTTAATAAAATTAATCTACAAGCCCAGTAGGTGATCAATCTCCAGTCGTGAAAAGAAATTTGCATGGGCAGAGAGACTCTGCAAATGTGCAGAGCACTCTGGAGCACCAGGGTGCCTTCAGCACCATGAGAAGGTCTACCCCTCTCAGCCACCTCTGGAGCTCTGGGCCACTGTTACCAGCAACGTCTCAAAGAGCACGACCAGCTCAGGTCACAGGGATGCAAAGCCTGAGGGAAGACTGTCACATGAGATCTAGGATATCACACCAGAGAGTGTCTTCAGGCACACCAACCTGCAGGCCTTCCTCAAACACTGAAAAGCATCAGTAAAAAGAAATGTAGAATGTTCTAAAGAAGATATTCACACATGTGCTTGTGTTTTTCTCTTTAATACGGTCTACTGCATTTTCTCTTATAACATATATTGCAAAAATAAATTATTAGTAAGATACAGATGGTAAACAATGCTTAAAACCAGTGAAACCAAGTGTTCTGAATGACTTGGGTAGAGAACAGGGTGACTTTGAACAGGTTTTAGTCTATTCCACAGATGGAAGCCAGTGTAAACTCCACATTCCCACCTATAAAGTTCCCTGTAACAGTATAATGCATTTGCTGTAAGGAACCAGGGAAATCTGTTACATTAGTTTATGAATTTGCAGGTGAATCAACTGCTTAAAAACAAGGAAAATAATGCACATTTTTATGTAAGATGTAGTGTAGTGTCAATATGCTAACAGTATATAATTACAATAATGCAGCAGATGAAGTGAATTAATCTCATATGAGTTGAGTCCTAAATTAATAACAACCATGTTTATTCTTCTGAGCTTTTTTAGCTGATTCTGCCACTAGTAGTCAGCACAATATATCAGATTGAGTTCATGCATCTAAGGGAGTGAATTTATCATTATTATTTTTAGTATGGCATACATTAAGTTCTTACTGATGTCAAAGCAAGGTTTACAATTATTATTATTACCACAACCCCCTAAAAAAAAATCAGAAACTTCTTCACTATTACCACACTGGATACCTAAATTATGTCTTCAAATCCTAAAAAAAAAGTGTAATTTTAAAAATGGGACTTGCACACCTTTTTTGAAGAGACACTGAGAACTTCTGAAGGCACTATCACTAACTCAAGTACTCTTCAATATTTAGGGATCTTCCAAAAAAATTAGAAATCACATACAAAACAACCTACAGTACCTGTACTATACTGGTGGGTTGACCATGGATAACAGTACACCCATCTAGTTGGTAAGGGCCATGTCGAGGAAAAAAGATATGCAAATGTTTGCCTACAAACAATGCTGCGTACCTGTAAGACAGGATTTCATTTAGCCCATTCAGTATTTAATTTAACTCCCATGGAATTAGTGTATCACTTGAGTATCTCAAAGCTCCAGAAAAAGAAGTTTAAGGAGGAAATACCTTTTAAATCAATGGGATTTTTGTAATTCTAGGACGCTACTGAGAAAACCAAGAAGTATGACCCAGTTATATCTTAAAGGCTCAGAAACCAACATAAAGGGAGGGGGGAAGCACACAGGCTAAAAGGATGTGAAGTCTGGTGTATTTTTTCTTTGTTTTGGTTTTCTCTAATATAACCTTCTGATCATTCAAATTTTTATTACCTGACAATATAGGTGGAAGCAAAACATCTGTGCCCTGAAATTGCAACTTCACAAGACCATATAAATTAAATTTATATTTTCTAACAGTTGTCAGGTAGCTTAGACACCTTTCTGGCAATGTGGTTCTGAACAAAATGCAGAACTATTTCTTCTTTCCTTGTAAAGCTTTTGATCAGGCATTACAAATGTTTAACAGAGATTGGACCTGAGAGTAACTTAGTGCATCCTCAGGCAGTTGTGCAGACCCCTTTTTACTCCCAGATCTGTCAGAAAGCACAGGCCCTTTGAGCAGCCCAGAAAGGTAGCACCATCATATTCAGGTAAGTGCCACCAGGATATCTCTGAGTAGCCAGCTTCAATAGGCATCCTGCAGCACCCAAACACTTCACTATTAAAAGTTTCCCAAAACTCTCTGAGCATCTGCAAACTTCTGCAAAGTCTGCTCCCATCACTTGAGACCATTTACTAACCTCTTTCTTTTTTAAAAAAAAAAGAGATCACTTTTGTGTTGAGTGATCAGTTTAACAAAAGGCCAGACACAGTATCTAACAGGCATCATTAACCCTACTATATCCAGTGCTTTTCCCTGGCTCAGGAGCACTTCTACATACTTGCGTGCAATATCAGGTCCAGACTTGGGGAGAGTACCCAGGTAAAATCTCACAGCAATACTGTGACCCCCTTTCTTGTGGCTGTGCTCTTTCCCAGGCAGACAATGATCATGTCAAATCTTTCAGCCTCACTTTTGTGTTGGTGGAATACTGTAATGGTCACTTCAAGATAAGTTTCTTATTTCTGTGCTTGGAATTATTTCATTGTGAGGGTGACCAAACACTGTCACAGGCTGCCCATACAGGAGGTGGAGTCTCCATTAGGGATGGTCCTGGACATGGTCTTGGGCAACTGGGTCCAGGAGGTGCTGCTTGACCAGGAATTGGACGACTTCCAGAATCCTTCCATCCTTAACCATGCTGTCCTTTTGTGGAACACTGAATCAGTTATGTAGTAAAAAAATCAATAGCAGAACAAACCCCCATCAGTACCTTTCAGATGGTTTTTGTTTCTGTTCTTTCAAAGTTGGCCATTTTCCTTCCTGATGTAATAGTTCCTCAAAAGCTATGAGCAGTCCTTACTTAAGCAAGGCCCCAAAGGCACTTTTCTGGACTCATTCCTTACAATTAAGTCTGTATTTTGGAAATGGTAAAGCTGGAGTAAGCAGCAAAGTATTTCTGTGTGT